TTCGTGTGGTACGTGAGTACAGCATGACCCAGCAATGAATTCCCACATTTTGATCTACAAGCTCAGGGGAGGCGGAATACTGCCCCTTTGAGGCTTTGTACTCTTCAACCAGAGGTTGGATCCTGAGGAGAATAGTCAGACTCCAGACACATAAGTTCTGGTTTGCATTTGATGACAATCCATGCACTGTTAAACAAAGGGTTTCTGGAGCCACACTGCTGCAAATGAATCTGTTGCTTCCTGCCTGCTTGCTGCTTCCACTTTGAACCTGCTTTCTCAAACCAGTCCCATTTTGGGCTCATTTGATAGAGCCCAGCACTCTGGTTGGTGATGGATAACAAGTCATCACCATGATTTGCTGTTACATTAAAACTCCGGATTGTTTGTCCCTTGGCAATTTAGAGTTCTGGATTTTGATGTTGAGTCAAACGATCAAAGAATAGGGTATTCCTGGGTTGTTTTGAGAAAGCAGATCTAAAGTAGGAATGGCAAGTGGGTGGGAGCAGCATTCTCTTGCTGTAACAATACCACCACACATGTACCAGGTTATAAAAAGTCTTATTCAGCAGTGAGTGTGGATCCTTATGTATCCAAAATAGTACCTACATGGAGATGATATATTGGCAGCTTTGGGGAAGTTCCACATATGTGCTTTCCAGATGGATGGTGCCTGGCACTACCAGTTGAAAGATGTTATACAACTATTTCATCTTATTTTCCTTAATGAATTTTCTGTGGGAAGAAAGATGGAAGTCATCATGGGAAAATAGGGAAGAGTTATGAATAGAAGAGAATGACATCTACACCTCCATGTGACATGCCAGTCTGGTTGCACCCTTGAACTAAGGTTGGGTATGGAGAAAAGCCATGCAGCATATATATTAATGTAGCAAAAGAGCCTCAATGAGTCACTCGTTTTCTGAAAGGCAGCGACATCAACACTCTAGCAAAGCTTGTTAGAGGAATGAAGATGAGTATAGGAGGCTCCAGGAACCTCTGGAACCAGAAGCAAACTTGTTGTTAATCATAGCATCACATCCATGGAGAAATTTGGACATTTGTTGTGCTACTTTGAAGACTAATAGATTTATTGTACTGTTATCAGTATAGTACATGGGGCACTTTTAGATGGGGTTTTTTTATCGTGCAATCATGTCTTGCTTATTGGATTTTACCACAGATTCAGATGTTGTCTTCTTCATCTTGTAACACTTGATGCTTTTTCATCTCCTTTTCCAATTAAAAAAAAATGAGGTAAAGATGGAAGACCTGTGTGATGCCTTCTGACTGGGACTGCTAGGAGTTCTCTGTTGCAAAGTGTTCATGAACCAGAACCAACTTAAGAGTATTGAGCTGAGGTCTGGAAGACCCGGGCTTTGATTCATACTTGGCCATGAAGCTCACCAGGTGGCTCTCAGCTTAAATTGCCTCACATGGTTATTGTCAGGAGAAATAGAGAGATGGAGGAGGATTATGAATGTCTTGAGGTCCTTGAAGAAAAGTCAGCATATAAATGTAACAAGCACTGCCAGCTACATGCAGTGTTAACCTCAGCTATGAAGGGACATTGATAAAGAAGGAAACAACTGGGTCAGTTTGAACAATCAGCTAACCATGGGCCATGGCATATATAGGAACCCATTCTGAATATTCAAGACATGACTGCAACTTGTCATGTCCTCTGAATCCATGACTCATTTTAGGGTTATATGAGGATAGTGTAGCCCATCCCTCCTGCGTTTGGATGGCACAGCTAGACACAGCTTTAGCTTGAATGTACCAAAGCCGCCTGGCACACGCTGCAACCCACTGTGGCTTATGAAGAATTTGTAATAATTCTTCAGGATACTTCTTCAGACTTAGTAGCACTACAGACATGGAATGGGGGAATAAGGGAACTCTTAACTTCTCCAGTAAATTTGAAGAAGATTGAGACTTGGAAAGGCAGCAATTAAAGAACTAGGAAAGATGATCCAATGTAATGATGTTTCACTGGAGACCAAGGCCAAGATCATTCACACCACTGTATCCCCAAACACTATGAATAGGTGCGAAAACTAGACAGCGAAGAAAGCTGGCAGGAAGAAAATTGATTCATTTGACGAGAGCTTTATGAATATCCTAGTCTGGTAGAAAGACAAGCAGGTAGGTCCTAGATTAAATTAAGCCAGAGTTTTCCTTAGAAACAATGACAAAACTGAGGTTGTCATACGTGCCATCATGGGAAGGCAAGACTCACTGGAGAAGACAATCATGCTGGGGAAACTCTGAATCCTCTGATTGCTGAGACTTCCACCCAAAGAACATACAGAAATTCAAAATTTTGTGTGTATGACTGTAACACTACTGTAACAGATACTTTTAACTGAAACAGCATTAGTAGTTTTGATAATGTTCTGAGAAGTGTGAGAAACAACATGCAATGAGAAGACAATTGTTGGCATCTAACTTTCTGCTTAACTGTCCACTGTTAAGTGTGGAATGTGGCCAACTTTCTCTAGCTAACAATGCACGGAAAGTGGGATCAGTGTACGGATGGGGATAGTTAACATGACCAATGGAGTTTGCGCTTAAGGGTATGAAAATATTTGGATTGCTAATAGCTGATGAATATCCTATGAAGGAAGAGCAGGCTGTTCTGTATTGTTGTGCTCACGCTTCTATAATAAGCTTTTGTTTTTGTTTTTAATTTTGCAGATGGTTTGTTGTCTCTCCCAGTTAGTCAAATGAACCTTTAGGCCAGTTGGGTTTGGAATCCCTGCCAGGGACATCCTATGTCAGAGACACTTAATGGCACATAACAACTCTATCCCCGCCTTTTCATATTGCATCATCCAACTTTCTCCAGAACACATGTCTCCCTCCAGACATTTGTGAATTTTGGCTGTGCTGGCTGGGTCGGCTTACTCCAAAATGTCTGGTGGCACCAAGTTCAGAGAGATGAAATTCTAGCCTGACAAAAAGTTCTCCAGAACTCAAAAGCTGCACAACTTCTGTGGCCATTCATTTGGTCCTAACAGTGGAGTCACCCAGCTGTGTCTTTCAGATCGGTTATCTTTCAGCCAGCCATGACCTACCCACCTACCTTTGTCTTGTACCAACCTCATTTAATTGATTGTATTTTTACACCGCCCTATAGTTAGAGCTCTCCCAGCCGTCCACAGGATTATTTTTTTAAAATACATTAGAAAAACTAAATACATACAAGAATGCAGCACACATATATCTGAAAACAATTTTAAGCCACAAGAAAAGTCAAGGCGTGACTAAAAATCTCATAATATGCTGTAAAATATTGATTTCTGCGCGCGCACGCCGTCTTTTCTACTTGGTTGGTTCTGTTGGTATCGATTCTTTTGTAAACCGCTTCGGGATTTGCTTCAATCAGAATCCGAATGCAAATATTGCTAATGGATAAAAACAAAAAACAATTCTACGGACAGAAGGCATAGAAAAAAGTAGGTGTCTGCAGCTCCTCTCGTTGATATGGTAACGTCACCAAGACCACCGGGCCGGGGTTCTACTCCATGGTCCGTTCCCAGTTGCCATAGCGACGACAGAACAGTTGGACTATACGATCGCAACAGCCCTGCAGCCCAGACGCCAGTGCTTCAGCCACATTCCCTCCCCGCAGCTGTGGCGTCACCAGCCCCACCCCCTGGCTGTCGCGGGCGGTGATGGGATTCCCAATATGGCGGCGCCCGTCTGAGAATCTGAGGGATCCCGCGCTGCTGCTACAACTGCAATTGCCATCTAGAGAGGGACACAGGGAGGAGCCGCTGGAGCCCAGGCCTGCAGCCGATCGTCCTTTCCTGTGTCACTCAGGTCCGTTAATCCCTTTGTCTTTGCGGTTCTTGCATCGCGCTGCTCTTCCCGCCTTATTTTCCTCCACCCACACCTGCCCGCCCGCCCGCCATAGCATCGCTCGTTCCCACGCTGTAGTCGCCAAGCTCATCTGTTTGCCCCTTACTCCCCATCCATCTATTCAGTTGGCCCCAGAAGACTGGAGTAGGTGGACCGTCGGCCTGATCCAGCAAGGCTTTTCTTATATTCTTAATCTGGAATAGTAGTTGCCATACTCGGCTTCGGTGTGTTCACAGGTGTCACGCAAGTAGAGGAGAATGCGAATTGCCCATATGTTCCTCCCTTTAAAATGCAGGAGTTGGGGATTGTTCGGCTCTCTTAAAGGGATATATACAAAAGTGGGAAAAGAGACAAGTGATTACTCTTTGGTTTAAAAATAAATTTTGGAGGGAAAATGTAGTAAAAAAAAAAGAAAGAAACACCAAAGCATGCATTGGAAAGTATGTGCGTGGGGAGTATTACTACAATTATGTAATTATTGTGAATGTTAAATACTGTAAAAAAGGTAACCTAAATATGCTAATTGATGTGATGTTATGTGCCATCAAGTCATATCTGACTTAGGGAAACCTTATGAATGAAAACCCTCCAAAATATGAGGTTGCACAACTTCTTTTTTGCATAAGCATCACAGAATAGGTATCAGCACATATTCTTCGCCGCCCATCCATCATATATCGAAAGGGTGCATACTTAGAGCTGTGTGTCATTGGGCTTGGTACCTAAATCATTCTGCTAACTGTATGGGAGTGCTCCTCAACCCGGAGCTGTCCTTGGAAGCTCAAGTGATTGCAGTGGCGAGGAGTGCTTTCCTTCAGCTTCGGCTGATCCATCAGCTGCGTCCCTACCTGGAGGACGATTGCCTAGTGACAGTAATGCATTGGTTACTTCCTGACTGGATTTCTGTAACGCGCTCTACGTGGGGCTGCCCTTGAACACAGTCCGGATACTTCAGATGGTGCAAAACAGAGCAGCCAGGTTGCTGACAGGGACTGGGCGTTATTCTCACATAACTCCAGTCCTCTACCGGCTTCACTGGCTTCCCATCGAAGTCCGAACTCAATTCAGGATGCTGGTTATCACCTACAAAGCCCTTAATGGCTTGGGACCTGGATACTTGAAGGAACGCCTGCTTCCATATTTTCCCTCCTGCCCCTTGAGATCAGCAGCAGAGGCGCTCCTCTGGGAGCCCTCCGTGAAAGACATCAGGAGGCAAAGTACCCAAAGGAGGGCTTTCTCTGCAGTGGCGCCCCATCTATGGAATGTGCTCCCCAGAGAGGTATGCCTGTCGCCGAAAAACAAATAATGATGGCGCCAGGCTAAGACCTTTTTATTTAAACAATATTTTAACAACATTTAATATTATCCATAGGTTTTAATTTCCAGCCAGAATGAATCAGGGTTTTTAATTTGTGTAATTTATATTTTTTGTATTCGTATTGGGCACTATGTTGTCTGCTTATGTTTATTTATGTAAGCTGTCCCGAGGCGTTAAGCGATGGGACAGCATATAAAAACTCCAAATAAATAAATAAATAAATATTTTTTTTCTATAGCATTCGCTGTAGATCAGTGTAATTTCATTACAAACATGAGTACCCAGTTAGGCATAACAGCTGGCACATTTTCAGGATGATAGTTTCTATGGAATACAGTTTTGCATGTGGAAAGTCATAAAATCCTTTCTACCTACAAAGTTACTGGATGACGTTGGCCTGTTTGTGAGAGTGCTGAGCCAGCCCCACATTTAGCATTGGTACAGGGAAAAAAACAGAAGGGATCAGAAATATGTTCATGTGATACTAGAAACAAAATTAAGAGACATTGTGCTAATTCAGGGTAGCCTCATTCAGAAGGATTAAAATTAAATTATTGGGTTTGTTGTGAAAAGTCTTCTACCTGTAAATAATTTCAACTTGTATTTTTCTTTTGCTTCAGAAATAATGTTGATATTTAGAACTCATGTCGAACATCTATGAAGAGAGGGCAACAATGATTGCAGCAGGGGATTTGCAGGAGTTTGTCCCTTTTGGCCGTGACCACTGCAAGCACCATCCTAATGCGCTGAACCTGCAACTTCGACAGCTGCAGCCAGCCTCGGAACTTTGGTCATCGGATGGAGCAGCTGGTTTGGTGGGATCCCTTCAGGAAGTTACTATCCATGAAAAGCACAAGGTACAAGTGCCTTCTAAGGCAACATTTAAGTTTTAGAAAGCATACCTATGCATATAATGTACCAAAACCATCAGAAAGAGACAAAAAGGGATAAAGAAGAGTTCAAGATGAGGGATGGAACTATTATGGCTTTTAAAACTAAATCATAGTAATATGTGATACTCTATTGATACTCTATTGATATGAAGTTTATGGAAATCCAATAAGGATATTAACAATGTGAATTAATAATTAGTAATGTCAATTCAGTGCAGTATTGTTGATGGAATAGTGGCTGCATTGAGCACACCGAAGAAACATCACAGATGTTGCAAGGTTTACAGCCTAACCCTACAAACATGCAGCACCAGTTATGCATACTTCTTGGCTGGTTTCATTGGTAACGTTTGCTACCCTTGGGATTGTTTCTAGTGTCCTATGAACACATTTCTGATCTCTTTCTTGCCTGTACTGGTTGTAAGATTGGGGCTGGCTTTTATGTACAAGTTAAGGAAAAGAATGGACAGTGCCGCAATAACAGAATTCAAGGAAGAGCTAAGCAAAATTCTTGAAAATTAGAACTATCAGCAGCTATATGCTAGGCACCTAAGGCAGTGCACCCTTAATGTACTAGGTTGCTAAAATATTAAACATCTAGAGCTGAGGAGTCAATAGCAATAGAATGAATAATCTTTTGCCATCTTGTGCTATTAAAATTTCCCTCAAATAGAACTGTTGGAGATTGGATACTGGGTTAGGGGCTTCATAAAATAACTTGTTTATTTTTTATTTATTGGTAGAAAGAGTAGCATATTAATCATGGGCTTTCCACACTAATTTCTCTTAAACTAGCATTTTCTTAGGATTTGTGTGGTTAGAAAGTGCACTGTGATGCATTGTTTCCTACCCTGTGTATTTCTGATGCATGTTCTTGGAATACTTTTTTTTTATCTCATTTTGAATATAGTTCTGGAGGTTCAGTACTGCCTTTGGTTTCTTGTCAAATTAATACGCAGAAATGCATTGTTAGAATGGGATTAGAAAGCAAACCAATCTACTGCTTTGGTTGAATGGAGTTAGAGATCTGCAGGATTCTGTTGCCCATACAGAGTTTGGCACAATCAAATACTGTCCATTCTCTTTAATGTCTCTCTGTGTTGATGTACATAATTCTTGGCCTTTCATGTATATAGATTACTGCCAGTAGACCAATTAAAAAAAATAATTTGCCGAATAGAGTGTTCATGGCTTTTTAAACTGTGTGCTACTGTATACATTTCTAAAATTCTGTGTTTAACTTCAAAAGCAAGGAGATGTATTCTGCTCTTCAGGAAGCTCAGACCAGATTCCACAAGGCCAAGTAGTCTTTAAGTACAGACCATGATAATTTTTGTATCCTAAGGCCATTTTCTGGTTGCCTGTAGATAGATTGATGAAGTTTGCATTAATATTTCTAACATAATGTTTTCTTATTTACCCTCCTCTCCTGCTTTTTTCAGGAAACTTGGCAGTTAAGGAAGGGCATCAGTGATGTTGGGGAAGAAGTACAATATGATGAAGAATTGTATGTGGCCAGCAATATGGTCATTTGGAGCAGAGGGAGTAAAAGTCAAGCTTCTGCTGTTTATAAAGCGTTTACTGTCGACAGCCCAGTTCTGCAGGTCTGAAAATTGATAAAAGTGCTTGTTTAGTCACAGTCTTGGCCACAGTTGCCGACACATTTATGCAGGGAAAAGTCCTGTGGAGATCTGAGGCTCTGACCACCAACCAGCTACTTAGGAATTAAAACGTTCCAGAGAATGCCTTTACTCTTGGTTTGTCTCCACTGTTTGTTAGTCTGAAAGAAAGATTAGTTATCATGGCTCACAGTTATGGAAAGCCGTATTATACTATTCTAAGTGGCAGAAATGTCAGTTCTCACAGTGGGGCAGTATCTCCTGAAAGAATAAAATCATGCAACAGCTAGTAGCCAGGATCCAGACATCTGCTTAGACTCAAACAAGGAACCTTATACTAAACTACCCTGATGTCTGAAGAAAGGGCTTTGTGAGATGGTTTAAATCCATAAGTAAATGCTAATCCAATGGAATTTTTGTCTTCTTTCCTTTTGAACAGTTGCTCCCCTTTCCCATGCAACAATTTGAGTACTTAACATATCATGACTTATCATAAACAATGACCCCTCATGCTTAAAATGACATTTTTAAGTTGGTTTTGAAATTAACATAAGGTTTTATGAGTTTGTTACTAATCTAGACTTGTAGTTTATGTTGTGAGACACTTTGGGAAGACTGTAGTCCTGAAAGATGGTTCAATAAATTAAGTAAAACTTACCTTTAATGGCTCATGAAACACCCCTCACTTTTTACAGCCAATTGCTAGTCTCCAAGCAAACAAAATGAATTTCAAGCCATTTAAACTTAAATGGCTTGTACCTGGCATTCCCAGCAATGCATTTGGTTTAAGAGGAATGTCACTTTAAATGGAGAATTTCGTTTAACATACTACTCCTAACATCACAGTGTTTTAATTAGCCAGTGTACAAGTGGGACCTGTAGCAAAGCATTACATTCCTCACTCCTGCAAGTTTTCCATTCTTTACCACACCCAAGAGTCTGTTAGCATTCTGTGTCCACTCATCCTCATTTGACCGTCTTTGGGTCTGCCTGATCAATTTTTTTCTAGAGGATTTTTTGTGATACTTTATCAAATCTTGGGGTTCTCCCAGGGCTGCTTATACTTCTCATTTCTATATGGGTGGTCCCATTTTTACTACATAAGGATCTGTGCTTGCTTCTGAATTTTGGAAATCTATGAGATGTTGCTAATGTGTATATTTCTCTATCCCAAGAAGCTCAGTCTTCCATTCACTCAGTTGGGTTGTAGATGTAAGGAAAATATTTTTCAAAATATGTAAAAAAACCCAAGTCCTGTCTTTCATCTTTTACTATTTTTATTTCAGGCATTATGGTGTGATTTCTCTATACCCCAGGATAAGTCTGACAAAGTGGAAGGCAAGTTTAATTTGTATGTAATTTTACATGGGGTTTGGGATCTGAAAGGCACTGTCCATTTCAAATGCTACTGCTTCCAAAACCAAATGCTCAAAATATAGGTTGGTTCTATGTGTACAATAGCTGAATGCAAAAACATTAAAATGCTGCATTTTGTTTTTCACTTTCAGATAACAATGAAATAGTCGAAAAGTGTATCTGCATATTACAGAGCTCTTGCATAAATATTCACAGTATTGAAGGAAAGGATTACATTGCTTCCTTGCCCTTTCAGGTAAGTGTATGCTTAAAAAAATAAATTTGAATAAATTAAAGTAATCTTTTCCTACGGGATGTTTTATTCTTCTCATTGGCTCTATTTGGAAATCTAGGTGTGGCAGTATATTGCTTTCCCACCTGATTTATAATAGCAAGGAAATGGACAATAAAGCAGAAATGTCCTGTGTTCAAATAGCTAAAACAACACATTACTGTCCCTTCGTTCAAAATTTTAAAAAATAGCAGTTATAATTTTTTTTGTCTGTTTGTTTTATAGGTAGCAAATGTCTGGCCAACAAAATATGGCTTGTTGTTTGAACGTAGTAGTTCCTCGCATGAAATGCCTCTAAGTCCAGCCAGGTAAAGGAGCATGAATGATGATTGTTTGTATGATAGTTGAGTAAAGATACTTTTCAGTAAAAATGACAATTCTTTGGCTTTTTACTTTTGTTTCTTTGAATGGTTTTGGCAGGATAATTTTATAGGAGCCCTAGTGAGTAAAAGAAAATTACAATGTTTCAAAAATCAGGTTGAAACCACTCCACCCAGTGTTATTTATTGTTATTCTCAAAACTTGAGCTATATTAAATGTCCCTTCAAAGCAACCCTGACTTGGGCATTATACCTGCATGCAATGCTGCATCAGACCAAAGGCCTATGTTGTCCAGAGTTCTATTGGACAGAACGCTTTCTGTGGGACAGGAGTGCAATTGCACTGCCTGCTATATTCCAGCAGCTGGTATCCAGATACTTGGGGTAGTATATATTCAACATGACTAGTAGCCATCAAGATCCTTGAATGCAGCAGTGTATTTCAAGCATATTAATAAGCATTCTTCTAGGTGATGTTCATTTATCATGTGCTTCTGCCTTTCAAACCATAGTTTAGAAGACTGAGAATATCAAGCCACTGTTATATGAAACTTTATGAGGCATTTGAAAAGTGACCTTCACTGACTAAGGCTGCAGTCCATTGCATGTTCAGACAAAAATTTGTCCTGCAGCTCCCATAATGCCACGTGCTGGAAGATGTAGGTCTTTTCCCTGTCTAAACATTCATTGTATTGCATCTTGAGATGTTTATACCATCACTTACTGTGGTGCATAATTTATTTTGTCTCCATTCTTTTCAGAGAGCCTTTGCCCACCATGTTCAGCATGCTTCACCCTTTGGATGAAATAACACCAATGGTTTGTAAGTCTGGAGGTAAATGATATACTATAATACATAAAAACAAAGTGGGAATGGAAATCAATCAGTGTCCAGAGATACCTCACAAATGTTGGGCAGTCTCTGCTTTGGTGGCATCTGGAAATACACAATTTTGGAGAATGAATTGACTAGTAAATGGCTTTGGAAGTGAATTTAATCATCTTGGATTTGAAGATATGTGATTGATTGTAATTGTTGTTTCTGGATAGCTAGATGCCATGTATTTATCATTGTAAAATTTCAAAAAAGGAAAGTGAACAAGCAGACAAGAAATATATGCACAGATTTGAATCTGTCTGATTCAATACACGTATATGAAATGCATGCACAGATGTATAGGACTATAAAGGTTTCTAAGAAATATATATAAACTTCAACAAAAGTGGACCAAATACTCGATCCAAATCAGTATTCATTTGCAGATGGCATCTGTACGTTACCTGTTTAAATGCTGAAAGCATTGACTGATATTCCAACACTGAAAGGATAATTGCTTGCCTCCTATAATGCAATGGGTTGAAGACAGCAAAGTGGTGATTCATTGATTGAAAATCTGATTTAAATGGAATAGTCGATGTTTACTACAAGTAAAAAAAAAATAAGACCAGTGATATAAAGAACTGGAAGACCAAACATAGCCATATATTTTGAACTGCAGCTCCCACAAGCCAGCATAGTCAGGGATGATGGGTGCTGAAAACCTCAAACAGGTCACAGGTTAGGGAAGAATTATGAGAAATCAGTTTGCTGAAGAAGCTTGGCTTCTGGTGCATTTGTGTTTATAGAATGAAAAGAAGGGTTACACTCCATAGCAGGCAGTGTGTGTGTTTGTGGGGTGGGTGGGGAATTCCTGGGGTACAGGAACAAAGACACATTGGTTTTATTTATAAAATGTCCTATTTCTAAATGTCTTGACATGCATATATATTCGGGGAGTCAGAATCTGAAATCATACAATACAGTCAATCTTCTACCGACATATAAATTCAAACCATAAGTGTACAATTAATACAATACAATTTGAATTTTCTGTGTCTCTTAAGATTTTAAAATGTTAAAAATGAGACATAATGTGGTAAGATGAAAATGCTTCTGCTTAATTACAACTGCTTAATTACAATTAAGACCAAAACTTGCAGTTCTCCAAACCGATTGTTTTAAAGATTGTTGCTCTTAATTTATTGGTGGGTAGATTTGTACCCTTTGGGCATAACTGACCTCAACCAGTGTGGTGTAGTGGTTAAGAGTGCAGGACTGGGACTCAGACGATCCAGGTTCTAGTCCGCACTTGGCCATGGAGTCAACTGGGTGTTTGGGTCAGTCACAGACTCTCAGTCCAACCTATCTCACAAGGTTGTTGTGGGGATAAGGTTGAGAGCAGGAGGAGTATTATGTGAGTCAGTTTGAGTTTGTTATAAGGAAAAACCAGGATATAAATTGATCCAATAAATAACAAATAACCAGTGCTTCCTTGTCCATGAATGGTGAATTTATTGCATCAGCTTCAGTTATTAGGCAGTATAGTAAATAAATCAAAATTCTCAGTGACTTCCATTGGTCTGGTCACCATGTCAGGAATACAAGCCTCTGTATATCGCACTGGGAAAATAAGATATGGGTGCCTTTCTTTTTGAATCGTGATCATAGCACAGCATTTTTCTTAGGAAGCTGTCCTGATGATTTCTCTAGGTTTGTTTGGCTCTGCCCGAGTACAGTATGTTGCTGATTACTCCATGAGAATTGTTTTCCTCAATGCGGAACCTTCCATTTTAATGACGTATGATGCTGTTCAGAGCTTACATACCATCTGGGCACTTCGAAGAGTAAAAGCAGAGGTAAGAATCCAAAGATAAGCACAAATGGTAATGTTAAAAACACGATCATCTGTTGATCACATCTTCTGAGGTTGCTCTTAGATTTGCCCACTGTATGAATAAAAATTTAATTTGCTAATGTCTCTGAAACTTGAATGTTGGATCAGGAAGGGCTTTAGGTTCCCATTTCAAGAACAGCTACAAGATCCTCCCAGTTGAGGTGCTGACATGATCAGCCAGCTTTCATTGTTGGCCTGGCTAATGATGTCACCACCTTTGGATCCCTGACAGAGACAGTGCCTTTTCTCTAGTGCCTTTTTGTTTTTCAAATGCCTTCCCCATGCTTAAGGGGCACAAGGGAGCAAAGCAAGATACCTGTTTAAAGTGCTATAACTTGTTCTTTATGTGTTCCTAGTAAAATTCACTTTTAAAATTTAAGGAAGCTGCTGAATTGACTTGTTTCTGTTTTAAGTGAATATGCAGTTGCTCTTTTAATAATCTGATACTGTTTTGGTAATTGCTTTTTAAGTATATATCTTATTGATATGAATCAATTTTGAAGATAACTGTCTTAAATGGGTTTAAAGAAGCACTTGATAAAGTTATGGTAAGATGCTTTGAGAACCACTGGTCATAGGGGACTCTTTTTATTCTTGGCTAGAGAAACGGGACTATGCATAGATCTAAATATGTTTATAGTTTAACATAAAAAGAAAAAATGTGGGGGGCTGACCCAGTAGTCTGATGTTTTTGGTGATTGATGACTTTTTAAGTTTCTTTTTTGTTAGGTCTGCTAAGAATAAAACGTATTTAAAAAAAAGAACCACTGGTAATAGGGATCTAAATAAATATAGTCGGGTTCAACATTTAACCTGTGTTATAGTCCAGTAGTGGCTGCTGAAACTGAAATTGGATGCGTAGCGGTTCTACAGAGAAACTTGCTGCCCTTCCAAGCAGGGGGCATGTTTCAACTGCCATCCACTTCAAATTAATTGGAGCAAAATGTTGAAGGGAGCAAGAGCCTGCTTCTAGGTTGTGCTCAAACCACAAATTTATTTATTTAGCTTATATTCTGCATTATTATCCCCATAGAGCTCTCTAATTGGATGCAACAAGAAAATATATAACAGGATTACTTAGATAAAGTCACGGTGCAAATTATAAAAATCAAATACAACGCAATATAATGAAAATCCAACAAACAGTTCTTTTTTTTATTAAAGACTCATCTCAAAAACACAATTGCTTGCATAGCAGCTTGCATATTATGTCATACTTTGAAAAATATACTCCTGTGAATCTTTTTGCTACCCTTTCTGAAATAATCTGTGGGTGTGTGTCTTTACTTGTATGTTCCATGTCTTGTAATATGGGGTGTCCCAAAAAAATCGACATTATTGACTATGATATTAGACTATGAATGATGTCAATTTTTTTGGGACACCCTGTAGATTCTGCATTTTTCTAGCTAACTCCTAGTCATGTGGAGTAGTCACCTTCTTGGTGAAAGGATGTTGCTATTTTCCAGGCAACTCCTAACTTGTTAACCATATAAGCACAGTAGCAAAGATGGATGCTTAAGGCCTTTCTTAGAGCCAGACTAAATGCAGCAGGAAAGCTCTCTGATCAGTGTCCCAGTGTCTTTTTCTTGTCTTCAGAGGAGCTTCAGTGGGGTGTCTGAGCTGGATTGGGGGTTAAACTGGTGTTTCTCAGTCTGGATTGTGACCTACCAGTTAGATAGGTGAGCTACCTGGTGGATTGCACAATGTGAGCCTTCTTAAAAATAATTTCCAGGGACCTATTTTCTTTCGCAAGGCCGGTGGTACACCATCCCTCTTGCATGGTCTCTCTTAACAGATGAGGTTGCTTCCTCCCTCTTTTTCCTTCCCTAGCCTGCTACTCTCCAGATTTGTTAGGTAACAAATCTGATCATTCCCAAGCACCATGGCATAATAGGGCTGTAGTCCAACATTTCTGCTTAAATCTTGTTAAAAGGCATACTGCATGCGCTCTCTCTCTCAATGAAATGTTAAAAATAAAGCACACAATAGTAACATAAGCAGTGAACAGTGGATGTGACAGTCTTGTTTCTTCCATTGACGAGGGGGACTTGGGGCTCAGCAGTGCAGTAATTGGTTTTTAATGTGTTTTTATTGTTGGTATGTTTTACATTGTAAGCTGCCCTGGAAGACCTCGGCAATTATAGGCAGCCTATAAATATATGTTAATTAATTAATTGTCAGATGGATAATTCACTGCTGAGTAATCTTGTAGGTGGATCCTACTTCAAGATGTTAGAGTGACAATTGGTTAAACCTGTTCACTCCATGGTAGTTCCCCAATCAAAATGTTATTGGTCCTCCTTCCAAAGCTGCTACTAAGCTCACTGTGAGGGATAAGGGGGAAATATGTCTTCTTTTCATCTCCCCTCTTCCAGCCCCTTGAGTAACAGTCGCTTAAGGGATAGGGATCATCCCTGGGAAAACAGCACAGAGTGACAAGGCTGGGACCCAGAGTGGAGAACTAGTGGCCTTCCAGACGTCACTGGAATCCAACTCCCTCAGTCACTTTGGCCAGAAGTTAGGGATGATAGGACTTGTGCACTACTGCAAGGGCAAAATTCCTCCACGCCAGTGTGAACCTCACCTGTTGTGCCAACCCGAAGCACGTGCACCTGACACAACCACATGCTGCCTCCCCATTCAGGTTTGCCACTCTCCCCTTGCCTTCCTCTGTTTCCCCCATGTTGAGGCTTAGGTGGGGAGCTCTTGGGAGCAGGCACCTGTCCTCTTGGACTCTGCAATGCACCTGCCACACTGATAGATCTTATATAATTAGTGCTTCTTTCATCCAGTCCAGTGCACAGCTCCCTCCCCAGTACTGGGTTCTGAAGTAAGGAGAAAGTCTGGGAGAGCTGGTGCTGGAGCTGTTTTATACTGCATGTATTTTGGCCTCTCACGGTTGTGGACATGGAAGCAGCTCAAATTTTAGTCTTAGATCTGCATCTTGACATGTCTGTAAAAGCCACATGATTCGTGTGCTGCTTTGAATTACGTGGGATTGTTTAATTTTTATTTTTACTTCTCTGCAGGAGCAGAATGCTGTCTTAAAGTTCTCGGAGCAAGTGGGAACTCTCCAGCATGGAGCCCCTAGCAGTTCTTTCACTGTCCACCTTCGGAATTTGTCTAAGGGAGATTCACCTGTAGTTTCTCCCTTTCAGAACTATTCTTCTATCCATAGTCAAAGCAGGTCGGCCTCATCTCCCAGCATCCATTCCCGCTCACCTTCCATATCCAACATGGCAGCTCTCAGGTGGGATGATAGGCCACGTGACTGTGATTTGGGGTTTCTGGGTGCTGCTTCTGTAGAGATTCCTGCCCTCAGTATTCTCTTAGAGTCTCAGCTTCTCCTTGTGAGTTCCTGGAAGGTCTTGAAAAATGTTACATTCCGAGTTATTTTGTACTGTTATTTCTACATCCTGTACTTACCTATGGTGCTTTATTTTATTTCCTTTTTTAATGCTAGCCTTCCCCTAAGTGTGTTTATCCATGTGTGTTTTATATGGAGACCATTGTTTCTATTTTATTTTATGACTTTTTATTAATTGTATGTGTGGTGTTCCCAAAGCAAAGAAACTAGATCTTGGCCTGCCTGTAAAAAGGGTTGATGTACATGAAACCCATTTCTGGAAAAAACATCTTTCTTTGTTTACAGCCGGTCTCATTCCCCAGCCTTGGGGGTGCATTCTTTCTCAGGCGTGCAGAGATTCAACTTCTCCAGTCATGCACAATCTCCAAGGAGGCACAGTGCCTGCCATTCTCCTAACAGTGCTACTGACTCCTTCCTTGCCCCTGAAACAGAACTCATTGTTCCAGAGCTTTGCATAGACCATCTGTGGACAGAGGCCTTCACTACCACAAGGTTTGGGAGAATCTATTTATTCATGAAGTTTTTAAATAAAGGCTTTACCTAATTCTCAAACTTACTTATTTAAGGATTTTAGTGAAGGGAATAAGGTACTGACCACAGACACGTACAATGATAAGCCAGGGATCCTGGTTTATTCAGCCATGATGTGTGTGGGGGCTTTACAAGGCTGTTCATGGACTGTTGTCATAGCTTTGCTTTTCCTGTGCATGTGCAAGCAGCTTGCAATCCTGGCTTGCTTGGGTGGAATAAATCCTAATTCCAGGTTCAACCATCATGCTAGGCTATCTCTGCCTGATTTGTTTGCATGGGAAGAACAAAGCAGGAGCTTCATGTTGTAGTTATTATTATTATTTTTTTATTATTATTATTATTATTATTATAGCATTTCTATGCCGCCCCTTGTATATCTAGCTGATATGCACTGTGTATTGACCTTGTGTTTCTATCAGGAATATTTTAGTAGTGGTTTTGTTTTTCAGTGTTGATAATAATAAACAGATAAACATTAACAGTTGGAAGTTGTTTCAATAAAGTCAAGCCAGTGTTTCTAGTTTGATGCCACACTAATCATGATAGGGAGTCCTGCAATGAGCAGGGCTTGGCCCCAGTTGCTTTGTTGGCCCCTTCCAATTCTACTATTCTATGATTCTATGGGACTCCCTGACCTGCTTAGCTATTCCTGTTCATAGGAGCTCTATGTATTAATGCACAGGTTTGCTCCTTGCAAATTTTAAAATTCTGCATTGCTGAGAAACCTGAATGTGGCATTGTATGCCTATGTGTATTTTATGTAAGCTGCTTACAAGAAAAATAATAGACATTACTATTGACATGTTATATTAAACGATCTATTTCGTAACTTATAATGAGGGAGTGTGCAACTTGTGGTCCTCCATGCACTTGGCCTACTACTCTCATGATTCCAGTTGGCTACGCTAGCTAGAGTTGATGGGAGTTGTAGGCCAAAACATCTGGAGGATCACAACTTGCCCACCCCTGTAAATAACAGACAGATTTACAAAGAAATAGTAAGTTATACAGACAGCATAATAACAAATAATAAGTAGAAAAATCACAGACCTAAAATAAGGTCAGTCCATGTAACTTTCATTTAGGTTTGGCAGTTGACATAATCTTAAGTTCACTATTTTGCTAGTTAAATGACTTATACCAAAATAAATTGGATTATAGCTCAGATGTTAATGTAAGTGCATTTTGAGATTTCCTAAGCTAGATATAGTATATTTTGAGACCTATGAATGTCTGCTTAGAGGAACCCTCAGACAGTTTTGGGGGTTACTTCCAGTCAAGTGCACATAGGATTGCCCTATCAAGAAAGTATAAAATAATATTCAATTTAATAACAAAAGTAGGCAGACTATTTTTTTAGGCTTTTTATTTGAATAGTCAAATTTTATTGTTGTGTGGATGTTGGTTTGAATATTGATAGGGAGAAGAACTCTCAAGCCTCCAAAGTATTTATTACGACTGACCTTTGTGGGCAAAAGTTCCTGTGCTACCTAGTAGAGTCCCAGCTCCAGTTGCGGTAAGTGTGTTTTCATCTGTGAAACTTCCTGGACTGTCATGTAGAATATTGGAATTGCAATGAAAGGGGACTGTGGACAGTATCCAGTGCTGTCCCTGTGCCAGCAAGACTCACCACTAGCACAATGGGAAGCTCTTAACACAGCCCTGGAAATTTGTTGAAATGCGTTTTGGAAGATTTGCTGAAGTCAAGAGGTATTATTTCCTCAGCATTCTCACAGTCTATAACTGATCAAAAGATGAGATTGGATTAGTTTGGCAGGATTTATTCTTGGCAAGTCTTTTATTTATTCATTTCATTTCAGTACTGCCCAATACCAAATGGCTCTCTTGGAACTCAACATAAGAAATCCATGTTTGCTTCTAGTCATCACTGCAGTGTTTTCAAACTGATTGCAGATGGGCTACTTTGTAATCTGCTCCAAAATTTTCCCACGGATTGATGTCAGACCTACTGGTTTCTAGTTCTCAGTTCTTGCATTTTTCCTATTTGAAGACAGGGAAAGGATTAGCTTTCCTCCGGTCATCTGGCACTTTCCCTGTCTTCTATGATTTCTCAAAGATAATAGTCTGTGGTTCTGAGAGTCCTTCTGCCAGTTCCTTTATTACTCTAGGCTGCAAATCAACAGGCCTTCCGTGTTTGAACTTGTTCAAAGAAATTAGGTGTTCCTTCTCCATTTACTTAACCACCTTAAGCTGCAATTCTTCCCCTTCACCTTTGTTTGGGAGATGACTGTACCAAAGTAGAAATTGAACATATCTGCTTGGACAGCCATCTGAGAGGGATGGTTTAACTTGGAGTCTTGCACTGAGCAAGGCGTTGGACCTGATGACCTTCTGACCCCTTCCAACTCTATTATTCTATGACTCTATGATTTTTGTTGTCACCTGTTATCATTTTGCCATCCTCACTAAACATCTGAACCATTTCTTTCTGAGTTGCTTCAGAACTCATAGTTTATTAAAACTAGCTTTTCTAAAATCCAGGGTATGCATTTGGCTACACTTTGCCTGTGTTTCCTTTTCAATCAAGAATTCAAATATGGCATGGTCACTTTCCCCCGAAATTCCTGTAACTGCTACTTAATCTTCTAGTTCATTCATCCTTGTTGGTTAGAATCAAGTCCAGGACAGCCAAACTTCTAATTCCTTCCTGCAGTTTCTGTAAGAGAAAATTGTCAAGGAGACAAGTTAGGAATTTCTTGCAAGTGGCCATGTTTGGCACAATTTGTCTACCAACAGGTACCAGAGAAATTGAAATCCCCATTACTGTTAGGCCATGCCTCCTTGAAACATGGGTAGTTTCCTTTTCAAAAACTTCACTCTCGTTTTTTCCCTTTCTTTCTTGCCTTTTAGCTGTGTCAGGTTTCAGCAGAGTAATGACATGTCACAGTTGATCTTTGGCTCTGTTACCAACATACAGGCAAAGGATGCGGCTCCAGTGGAAGTAAGTATGAGAGTGTTAAATGAAGAGCACACAGGAGTACTTGATAGCATGTAGTCAAGTAGCAGTTGATTAATGCACCTTTTCTTTTGGGGGATGGTCTGTTTGCAGAGTGTTGATACAATGCTGGTTCTGGAAGCCAATGGAAACTTAGTCCTGTACACTGGAGTTGTGCGGGTATGTACAAAATTTGTTCCAACTAATAGTCTTTGTATTTTCTTGTGCATCCAATCTGTAGATTAATCTTCAAAATGCCTGCACTTTTCCACATTGGTATATAGTTCTATGGTTTTCCTCTCTAATGTTTTTTTTGGGGCGTATAATCTTTTTATTTGCAACACAACAGTAACTACAACAAACAAGCAAGTAAAAGGAAAATAAAAGTGGAAAAAATATCACAATGTATCTGAATCATGAAATGAATTGTATGAAATGAAAATATCTGAATCAAGCATCGTATGTGGCTTCTTACTTCGTGTTCTTTTTAAAGTTAATAGGCATGTAGGAATCCAAGTGAGGCAGGAGCATAGCTTGGTGATAAAGCACATGCTCCCCATGTGGAAGACCTCAGGTTCAACCCAGTCATTGCTAGTTTTCAAAAATTGGGTCCTGGTAGCTGGTGAGGAAAAATCTGAGAAAATTGTCAGTCAGAATATAATTTTTATATTAGCCTTCTCCAATATCATGTACTCTAGATGACTTGGACTACAACTCCCAGCTAACATGGCAAGGGCTGGTGTGGACAATACTGCCATACATAGACAAATAGCCTGACTTGGTCTAAGGCAACTTTTGAAATAATCTAGCTAATGCTTCTTGAGTATCTTTGAGCAGTCCATTTATTGGTCTTTTATTAAGCATGCAACTTGTTCTAATATTCCAGTTTCATTGCTTGAGTTTGTCTTTATTTTTAAGGATGTATTAAACATTAGCGCTTTTGAAACTTGGCATAGCTTTTCTGTTCTTTCCCGGTTACAAGGTAGGAAAGGTTTTCATACCTGGCTTGCCAGCTCCATCACTGACCATGTCATCCCAGATGCCTCGGCCAAGCACTCCTTTGGAAAGTATTAGCACTCCTTCCAAACCTTTGAATAAGCACCTTGGACCCTTAGATGAGGTAAGGGATGGTCCTTTTAAAAAATTGCCCAAGAAGGCTTGTGTTTCATATTGTCTATATGTGAAGATTATAGATCCTTCATTGTCAACTCAGAGTGGTTCTGGAGTTCTGCCTTATCTGCTTCCAATTTCCTTGGTGTCCACTGGGTTTGCCAGCACCGTTTTTGCTTTGGTTGGTAATTCAGAGTTCCTCTTGCCATCTCGTGTGCTTTTCCGGTACTTGGTGGACACAGAATGGATATTTGTGTTCAGAGGTTTGTGGTGTGAGATGAGGACCATGACTACTACCAGTTGAAAGATGCAGCTAAGGATTTTAATAGCAGCTTTGTTTTTTGGCATTTTGCTTAGATACCACCAACTGCATAGATACCCCTTTGGAGCCTCAAGTCAGAGTGCCAGCTTTGACCTTTACAGACCATCATGGTCCTGAAAAGATCTCCTTCATATCTGAAATCCTCTTCAGAGGCCCTGTCCCAGGTGTGCCCATCAAGTGACATAACGGGCATGGCAACCCAAAAGAGGATTTCCTCAGTTGTGGAATCTTCTCCCCAGAAAGGCTTGCCTGTTACCTTGATGGTCTCTTTTTAGCAGCAAGTAGGAGACAAATTCATTCTCTCAGACCTTTTGGAATTGCACTCTTAAGGATGTAAATTTTAATGCACTTTTTATCAGCTTTTTTTTCAAAAACTTTTTATTGGAATTTTATATTTATGCTTTGTGGGAATTTAATATTTTATTTATTTATTTAAAAATTGTATGCTGTCCATTACTGTCATCTCTGGATGGCTTTCAACATTATTTCAGACTACAGTAAAATAAGATAAATTAGCTATTCCACTATTTATGCTTTGAAGGGTGCTCAGGATGGTGAGAGGTCTTGAAAACTAGTCCTGTGAAGAAGGATCTAGAAAATACTTAGTATGACTTCGTTTGGAGAAGAGAAGATTAGTAGGAGAGATTATATCCTTCAAATATTTGAAAGGTATTCTTGCAGAAGTGTAATAGACTTGTTCTCTTGTTCCACATGGTAGGACCAGAACCAGTGGATAGAAAATGCAAAGAAGCAGGTTTTCTAATGGTAATAACTGTTAGCAGAGGATTCTTCCCTAGAGATATGTAAGTGGAGGCTAGACAGTCACCAGTCAGGGATGTGATAGCTGCATTGAGCAAGGGTTAGGACTAGAATGATCTAAAGTCCCTTCCAACTGTTTTGATTTTTAGTGCTAAAAGATCATAACATTTTTCTCTCTTTTTAGCAGGGAGTGTTGTCCCCTGTTCCAGAGCTGAGGGATTCTTCCAAACTTCAAGACTCCTCTTATATTGATGATTGCACTTTTCAACAGCTTTCAACTTTTGTTCATTCAGTGAGAGATCCTGTGCAGAACAGAGTGACTTTGGTAAGTGATCAATTAAGGCAAAGTCAAGCTGGTCTATAGGCAAAAATAGCCAGAATCCTCTATCAGGCAGTACCTTTATTAGGACCAATGAAACGTGTGCAGAATGGTGGGCAAGCTTTTGATGATCTAGGAAGTGGATTTTGCAGGTTTGTTTCCCTCAGCAGTCCTAAATCTAACTAGAAACCTGTAATGTAATCTGAAAGAAATTTCTTGTTTCTTTTCTAAATGTTACCAGTAAGGATTCTGCCATTTTCAGCAATTGCAGAAAATGTTGGAAGCCTTTGTAGCAACAAGCAAGACTTCTAGAATTGGCAGAAGCAGGAGATGTCAGCTTTCTAGACCTTTCATTATTATTGTTTTCAGTTAAAATAGATAATGAAATACAATGAGACAAACTGTGCATTTATCACTGCCAATGAACTATTTTTAACAAATCTGTTGTATTTTGTTTAATTTAAATCTAACTTGAGTGCTGGCTGCTTTAAATGATTGAAAGGCAGAATGTGAATGCAATAATTTTACTGTGAAATTCATTTTTTCTTAAGACCACTTTAGGAAGGATGCAATGCTTTTCATCATCAGTGGCTTTCTAACAGAGCATACCTTGAATATGTAACAGATCAGTTCAGTTAGTGTAATGTTATGTGCAGTAGAAGATGAATGGCTTCCTCTGAGATGATGTATCTCTTTTTCTTCTAGGAACTCAGCAATGCCACAATGGTTAGAATTACCATTCCTGAAATTGCAACTTCAGAATTAGGTAAGATACCACATCCTTACTTTCTTGCTTGAATGTGTATATGGAATCCAACAAAACACAGGCTGTGGACTAGTGTACACATAACTCTGTTCTCTTGTCCTCACCTTCCTGACTCCCAGGGCAGTGCAAATGTGATGTTGTCTATATGTGCTGCTATCACTACGGTGCAGCCTGGAAATATTAACACCTTCCGTTTTCACATAGTGGACATAAGTTAAGAGAGAAATGAAATTCTTTAAGGAAGCATTACTCAGTCATAGACCTTTTCACATGCTCACACTGGGTGAAGCAGAAGTAGAGCCCAGAGATGTTCAAAAGCCACCCCCCCCCCCTTACGGGGGGTTCTTTTCATAACATGCCTTTTCTCCCAACAGTCTCATTGACTTGAGAAGTGGTATTTCTCAGACATTTTGCTTCCTCAAACTTTTTTTTTGAAATTTGCAAGTCTGATCCTAACCATATTTACTGTGAAGTAACTCCATTGATTTTAATTAGATTTACAGCATTACCTTATATGGAGTTACCATGTGCCAAGGTCCACTGACTTCAGTGGCTCTAGCTGTGAGAAACATGGTATAGGATCAGCCTGCTACTTACAAGTATATGGACTTAGAACTGTTACCTTATTCCTTTAACATAGACATGCTCACTAAAATATAGGTTTCAGTCAGTGCTACAGCTAATGCTGAGTAAGAATCAACAAAATTGCAGAATTTAAAAGCTGCAGCCTTTAAAAAAAATAAGATCTGGGCTGTGTCTTAATGGTGTGTCAGGTGACAATTACCAGTAGAGGTGATGCAAACATAAGGAAAAGAAGGAATTTCTTGAACTTCCCTTCAAGAGCAGACTGTGTCTGCTTTTTAAACATCCCCTTCCTATTGCTGGCACAAATTTCCATTCTCTTCCTGAACTTCAGTTAAAGATTACATCTGCACCTATGGTAACATTTAAACAAACCAGTTTCTCTTGTAAGCATTTAATTAATTTTTACTAAATTAGTTTTACCATACTGTCTGAATTGTTTCTAATGTGCTATAATAACAGAACTTTTAGACTATAATAACAGAAATGTTAGACTATTAACTATGAACATAAATAGCATTACATACAGATTTTGATAATGTGAAACATATGTATTTGTTTTAAGTTACTATAGTTAATGCTAACAACTGTACTTCAGAAAGTTGTGTTTTTCTTGTCCCTTTCTAAAATTGTGTAGCCCCTGCTTAACAAAGTTTGTAAGCTGAGTTATAAAGGCAGCAAGCAGTAATGTTAAAAATAACTTATAACAAATAAAGCAATATCACAAATATAATTTAAAATGAATATGAAGCAGTTCAGTCATCCATGATTACATTTGAATGCATTGGCAGTCACATTTAAAAAGCAATATGTAAAAATGTCCATTGAAAAAGAGGTGTTTTAAGTATTCAACAAAAAGCAAGCAACAATGAGCCTCTGGACTTCCTTTGAGAATGTATCTCTATTTTTTGGTGGCACAACAAAGAAGGCCATGTCCATTGTGCCCTCTACTGTACTTCCGACAGCAGGAGGCTCAGTAGCAAGGCCACAGATTAAGCAGATTTGCTTGAGCAGATTTGTAAAAAGGAGGTGCTTTCGGGTTCCAAACTATTTAGGGCTTAACGTCATTTATTTATTTATTCATTCATTCATTCATTCATTCATTATTTATTTATTTATTTATTTATTCATACATTCAACATTGGTGATGAAACTCTTACTTGCAGTTAAGCTATGCTGTGCCATTCTTGCTGGAAAAAGTACAGAATTCCACAGTCTGATCTGTATTTTAGTTAATAAAGCAATATCATTGCATTTGTACCACCCCTAGGCAAATGGACATCGAATGCATTTCAGATCAGAGAAATTGACTGAATGGCTCAATGACACAAAAGAGAAGCTAACCATTTTTTCTTCCTCACCCTGAGCAGTCAAAAGATGTTTGCAAGGCATTAAATGCATCCTGCCCAAGGAGGTTGCTGTGCAAATGCTTGTCCGATGGTATAATGCTTACAATGCCCCGGGAGGACCAAGTTACTACTCAGAGTGGAACTTATTTGTTACCTGCCTGATGAATATGATGGGTTACAACACAGACAGAGTGGCCTGGACGCGCAATGTAAGTGACTTAGCACCATCATTACTTTCTAGCCACCAGTTTGTGTTAAGGCATGAGTTGAGAAAGAGTGATTCCCTGCAAGTTCTGAAAATTGATCCAAACATCTCCTCTGTGGTGGCCAAGTCCTGCTTGCTAGTAATGAAGATTATCAAGATATTGTCCTGCTCCTCTCTCCCCAAAAAGCTCAGTTTTTTTTTCTTAACTTGCACAGCAGCTGCTTTCATGACACAAACTAAGGCTGTGGAGCATGTGTGGCCACGATTTTGAATGTGTAGCCCTTGTTTTGGGGGGTCTCATGTTGTATGAATCAGGTGAGTTTGGGTTGTGCAAGGGTTAAACAGCCTTTGTATAACCAGTGGCTCGTTTTAGGGTTATGCAGGAATTGTCAGCCCCTTGCATGACCCATTTTATATGACAGAACAACCCCACAGGTGCTGTGGCTCGTCCTGGGTTAAAATTACTTGAGTTATACATAGAAAGTAGGATCCAACATGCCTGAGTGGACTTCGGCTAGTGCAACAGGACATGCCCATCCTTTCCCCTCTGCCATTCCTCTCACGTGTACACCCACTACGGGAGTACTGTGACCATTTCTGGTCTTCACTTTACAAGAGGAGCATAGCAAGGTTGGAATCAGTTTAGCACGGGGTCACAAAGATGGTAAGATGAATTGAGGTGACGCCATATGAAATGAGATTGAAGGAACTGGGACCTTTCAGCTTGGGGAAGAGAAGACTCCAAGGGAATCTTACAGTGACTCACAGGTATGTGAAGGAGTATCACACAGTGAAGGGTTGTGACTTGTTCTCCCCTGTGGTGGACAGAAGGACATGATCCATTGGGACAAAACTAATGGGTTTCAGGTTGAATGTCAGGAAGTACTTACTGACAGGAAGGATCCCTGGGATATGGAATGGACTTCCATGGGAGGTGGTGGAGGCCCCATCAATGAGGGCATCCACGGAAAGATCGAACACCCACATGTTGTTCACTATATGAGCGGAGCCAGCTTGTGCAGGGGGTCAGACTAGATGGTCCAAGAAACCCCTTCTGACTTGCTATGTTTCAGAGTCCCAAATATACTCTGGAAAGCAGATTTAGTGAGTGCAGGGGTGAGGGCTGCAAGGGGAAAATCCATTCTGCTAGTGGTTTCTGTACCTCTAGCAGATGATCAATATTGGATCCAACACACACTGTCTTACAGCCCTGAGCTTCACAATTCCTTTTGTTTAGCCAGACATGCATTTCACAGGTTATTCCTTTACTGTGCATGAATTTTACAATAGCAATATGGAAGATGTTTTTGCAATGAATAGTGTGGTCTTTGTTGGTATCAGTGACTTTTCTTGATGTGATATTAACAAACTCAAGCAGGAATGGCTGAAGCCATTTAAATATTTATATGCTAAATACGAAATACCCCAAAGTAGCATGAATTTGTAAGCTCTCTGTTACAACTTTATATTGTTTTCCTCTTGAGTGCAACTAGGTGATTTTTAAAAAACCAAAACTTGACTAAATTAGATGCATTGATGAGAGCTATAACTAGTCTGCAAGCCACTGGTTGGCTTTCCGTAAACTGAATATTCTGGTGGCTTCTTACAAAAGCAGATCTTTAGAATAAGTTTACAGCAGTATTCTTCTTTTACTGCACTAAATATGAACATCAAATTTGGTTTATACCAACACATGATGTATGAGAACAATTAACAAACAAGTGATGTACAAATCAGTAGGTATAATTGGTTAAATCATGTAATCACTGACACATAACCAGGGCTGAGAAAAGCCCTCTTTTTTAGAAATCAGCATGTGTGCATCCTTGAAAAGTAGCTGATGCTAACCAGGCACCATTCCAGAGAAAGCTAAATTGGCACTTGACTGATAACAGCAGCTCAGACAAAGGGCAATTCATCAGCTCATCCCATCCTCCTCTTCTATGTAATAGCACCCCCTCCTCCCCACTCCTTTGGAACATCTTTGGTATGCAAGTGGGAAAGAGCATGCCATTGTAAGTTTTTGTTTCTGTAACCTATTGAAAAGGGTTAATTGTGTTACATGTAACCCTGTAATGATCTGTGTATAAAAGGGCCAACCAAGGATTGCTCAGGTATACATCTGGAACAATTTGTTGTTAGCTAGTTATTCTCAAGAATAAATCCTTTAAAAGAATGGATTTCTTTCACACGCACACACACCAACCAATCAGGACTTGGACCATTTGGTCAACACAGGCTTTCTCTGCATATATAATTATATATTTGCCTTTCTTACATGCATTCTCATGAAAGCCAGTAATACAGTGAAGAATGGGACTTGGGGCCAAAGTCCAGGGCTCCATAGCCTGGGCGTGGGGGTGGGGCTCTTAAATGGCTAGTCAGAGAGTGGCAAATGATGAGAGAATCAGAAGGACAGAAGCAAACTCCATCATGTTCCTGAAACCATGATGGTGCCATGATTTAGGAGAATTGAAATGCAAAGCCATACATGCTTGGAGTATTTTTAATTGGAATTGACAGTTTTAATACATCAAGAATGTAGAAGCATTTGTAAACCTGAAGTGGCCATTGTGGAAGAAAAGAAATGCCAGCTTTATTTCTCAAGAGAAGCAATCAAAGGGGAGTCCTATAAGATCATTGGGTCCAGCACCTAAAATTATCTCTCTGCACCACTGTTCAGGCTGCACTCTACAATTCATTGATAGTAGAACCTTGATTCTCAGCTGCACATCTCAGATTGGCTAGTCCTGAGCCACTGAAGTCCCGTCCCCACACAAGTGGATTTAAGACCACATCCAAAGTTCTATTGACATTATGGGGGTTAAATCTAGGTTCGTCAGCTTTTTTATAAGAAAAAAAGAATTCTACGACTTTCACTTTAAAATCAACCCATTTAAATCAACAGCATTGATTTTAAATTGAAAGTAGTGGAGATCAGGCTTACGAAATGGCTTGAATCTTACTTTCTCCATGTGATACTCAAAAAGAAAGAATTACATACCATCTTTGCTTCTCCTGATACAATCAGTTCTGTATTTATTTTAAAATTAAATTCAGGAACCTGCATGATAACATACTTATATGTTTATTTTAGCTTGATTTTGAAGGATCTCTTTCTCCAGTCATTGCTCCCAAGAAAGCCCGGCCATCAGAAACAGGATCAGATGAAGTAAGGAAAAATATATTCATTAATACATGTAATGAATGTATTGTGCTTGTGTACCATAGTAATTTGGGCGCTGGACTGGGACTCAGGAGTTCCAGGTTCTAGTCTCCATTCAGCCATTAAGTTCACTGGGTGATTTTGGGCTGGTCACAGGGAGAGGGGGATCATGTTAGCTGCTTGGGTTCCTTTAGAAGTCTAGAAGTAGAATATAATAAATACATAAGTAGTTGGTAATTCTTGACAGGTTAGAGAGCTGATCATTCCTCTTATCTGAGTGGTGTTATTCCTTCAGGTTTGTCCGATGCTATATTCAGAAGGCTTTGAACTACTTTTCAAGTGGTTTATAACTTAGAGAATGTTCCTGTCTGTCATGACATGACGCTGTGGATGTAGCATGTGCATGCAGGTCACTTGACAACTTACTGATTGATGATTGGTGGCTCACTGCAAAAGAGCTAGCTATGTTAATCTGTCGCAGCAAAAACAGCAAGGAGTCTGCTAGCATTTTAAGGACTAACAAATGTATTATGGTAAAAGTTCTTGTAGACTGGAGTCAGATCTGGGATTTATTTACTTATTTAGGTTTTCATATCCTGTTCATTAGCCAAGGTCTTTCAGAATGGCTAGAACGATTTAGAACTTGACAGCTCGATGTGTGAACTGTGTCACTGAAAAAGACGTGGATAGATCCAGATTTACTCATAGTTATAGTATCCCTGTGGAAATCAGTGGGATTTAAATTAATTCTTTTTGCTTTACTAGGACTGGGAATACCTGCTAAACTCTGACTATCATAAAAATGTTGAATCTCACCCATTGGCCAAGGCTCTACGGTTGGATCCTCTGGAAGCAAAATTTCCCAAGGACAACCTTTCTCACAACCACTGCTTGGATTCCACCACTCTTCTCTTTCCCCACATCCCAACTATCTTCTGTGTGCTTCACTTAATCTATGAGGAACTCAAGCTGAATTGCTTGATGGGTGAAGGAATCCGTTCCCTTGTTGTTCTGCTGGTTCAGCTGGCAAGGTATATCCTCAATGAAAGCAGTCGTGTTCTTTAGCTGTGGTTAAGAGAGTAAGGAGTCAAACTTTAAATCTGATCAAAATTTTGTTGTTCATTTTGACAAGGAGAATGAATAGGTGAGCAGCCAGTGTTACTTATGATCAAGAGGGAAGAGGGAACTGGTTTGTACAGGGTTTTTAGTTTCCTGTAGGTTTTGATGGTGTCCCAAAGGCTATAGTAATTTGCAGATTTCCCTCTTCACAGTGATGGGGGGAAAGTCTGTCAACATTGTTCCTCCTCTGTTTGTATTCTGTTGGTAGAAAGTCAAAAGCAGGTGTGTGGGGTTCCAGGGGCAGATGGAGAATCACCAGAGCCAGAGCTATCCCATTCCCCTGGTCCAGCCCTGGAATGTGAGAAGACATGGGTTCCATTCCAAGGAAAATATAAAGCTGCCTTTCCCAGCTTTTAACCTTCCAGATGTGATGGAATGTAACTGCGATAGGTGACAATGAGTCACTGGAGTAGCAATCAAGGAAGCTAGAGGGGGTCAGGTTGGGGAAGGATAGTGTAAAGGAAATGGAGGGGGAAGCCATGGGAGTCAATAATGCAGCCCTCCTGCCCTGTTGGCTTGTGCTGGGGAAAGCACAGGAGGTGACAGTTAAGCTGCCATGAAATCTCTCGCCCCCTGTTGGTGCACACACACGGCAGCACTCAGAAAATAAATACCAAGACCATGTGGTTGTGCAAAAATGCAGTGGGTGAACTCCAACACTGCATGAGCAGATTTTTGCTTGCACCATGGAGCTTCCTCTGTGAAGCTCCTGCACACCTGTAAAATCTACTCCAGAGGGTCATCAACCATCCAGAAGGGTAACTAGCACTACACAGTCTCTCAGCAATTCAGGAATATTCATATCATTTTATATATTGCTGCCAAAATAGATTGAGCAAAGTCAGGAAAGACGTAGACTGAAGTAAAATCGTATCTTTTCTTTCTCCTGCATTAGCTTGCAGTACTTTCCAGGCCTTATGTATGTGTGATAAATTGGATTACTCACACAAAGATTTGAAACTGCTGCAGGCTAATGGCAAAGAAGGATATGGTTTATTTTCAGTCTCCAGTGCTGCGGCCTGTTCTCCACATACAAGCCTCTTTGGATCCTGCAGCTTGGCAAAGTGAAGACAGGGCACCATGTTTTGCAGCACTTGGAAGTGGTAGCAAATTGGCCTTTATTTAGCTTATTATTTTTACCTCCCCATCCATAGAACCATCATTCAGCTTCTCTGCTGCAGCTGCCCAAACGTCTTGGACATGCCCTCTCTTGTCTTTGGGCATAGGCATGTCTGTGCCAGTGGGCTGAATAATTTTTATGTTGATGCAGCAGAGCTTTTTTGTGGCTATTTGAGCTAGATTTCTGAAAATTGACCCGTCCCCATTCTCTTCCCCTTAAGGAATATGTGACCTTGTGCATCTTATACATTGTGCAGCTTGCTTGTTATTTCCCTTTGCAGGGACTTAAAACTGGAAGCTTATCTTGATTATTACTTCAGAGACTTTCCAGTGCTTGTAAAAACTTCCAGGCAAGCATGCATGATTGATCCAGGTAAGTTTCAGGAGAATAGTTTGCATTCTTTGGAAGATGATAATTTATTTACTATATTAATCACATCAATAAATGTATTGGAAACCATTTTGTCAGGTTCTGACCATACTGTTACTGCTGTAGTATGATCCTAGATCTTTTTAGCTTCCTTCATGAGCTTTTTTGTGCAGTACACTGCATTCTGGCAAAATTGATTAAACCATGGCAAACTTGGAAAAGAAATAATTAATGATTCATGTCATTATGACTCCTTATTGAATACAGCAGCCTAATTTTATGAGAGGCACTAATCACTGTGCATTTTATTTCTGCCATGGTGTGCTATGTTTGTTGCAGTTGTGTGACTAATTAAACAAACATGGTTAAACAAACAGATGTGCTGAAAGTTAAAGAAAAGTGATCTTATTAGAACAACTTTACAGAGAGATACACACATGTGTGACATTGCGCAAGAGGGCGGATCTCAAGATGCTGTATCCATTTGACAGTCTGCCAAAAATGTCTACATGTCACAAAGCGTAAGATAAAAGCTTACTTAAGCACACAGTAATTTTCCAAGTTATTCACTCTGCATTGTTTTTCTAAACAAACCTTGCCATAAACAGTAACATTTTGCAATAAAATAAATATTTTACTTATCTCAGGCATTGAGGTTGCAAGCATGCAGGCCAAAGCAAAGCCTCCTGCTCTGTTCTCTGTTTCTTCTATCCTGCTACAAAGTTTGTGTCACCCTGACCTATTGCCTTTCCTTACACTGATTCCTGACACACAGTTATTTATTTGCTGAAAGTAATGTTTGCTCTTTGCTGCTGGCCTCAGAACCTGTTTTGCACACGTACCTTTTGGGAAATAGCGTCAAGGAGTTTATTTTTTTTAAGGCACACAATTCTGCTTACTTCAAAAATACGGCAGACAACTCTGCCTTCATGAACTTTCATAATAAACTATCTAGTCACCTTGGTCAATATGAACATTTATTATAAATTATGGGTGGGTTACCACCTTACCCAGCCATCCATGCAATATGTGAACCAGTGGTACATGAGTATATCTCACAAATTTCCATAGAAACAGCAGCAAGTGCTGTCATGGAAGTTTCTGTTCACTATCCCTAAACTACCCAATTCGTACTTGAGTTTCTTCATGTGTTCAAAGAAACGGGGGTGGCCGAAGTTAGTTGTATGTAAGAATACCAGAACATTGCTTGGGTGTAAGAAGGCCCCATATTAGCCAAACCCTGTTTGTTCGTTCTCTGATATGAAAAGTGGTAGAGCAGCTTTCATATTTTAAAGGTGGGTTATTTTTGAACTAGGTTTCTGTGGCTTCTGTTGATCATATTTTTGTATGATTCAGCCCAAACAGATTACATGCATCACCCTCCATTTTTTTTGGCTGAGCCTCCAAGCATCTTTCAGTGGTTGAGTTCCTGTCTGAAGGGCGAGAGGGTGTCCCCCTACCCTTACTTGCCTGGAATCTGTGAAAGGAGCAAGCTAGTAGTACTGGTAAGTAACTGCAACCCTGCAGAAGCAGCGCAGTTCTGCAAACAAGTTTCTACATCACTTAGCAAATGGGTGGATGAAGCAAGCCTGTGGACTGTCCCCGATTCCAAATTTCCCTGAGAGTCCCATCATCTGAATGTCTCTGGTGCCTCTGAAATAAGAGAGTCAGAGATGTTTGGAGCTGCAGGATGCGTAATGGAAATTTAACATAATTAAATTTAATCTGAGAACAGATAAAAAGGAATCCAGTGGAACTAAACTGCTCATTGCTATTTGGGTATGGAATCATAGCCATACTGCACATTAATACAAATGTTTTAATGGGCAAATTATGACTTCAGGCATATGGGTGTGGCTGGTTGTACTTTTAGCCACGCTTGTATGGTTAGCCTGCTTCAGAGGCAAAGCCAGCCTGCTTCAGTGGGAAATTTGTGGGCTGCTGGCTGTATGTAACAAATCGAAGCAAATTGTGAATCATTTCCTTCAGTCATTTCTTCATCATCAACAACAAGTGTATGAATATGGATATTTTACCTGTATTTTTTGCCTTAAACACCAAAGTGTTTTGGGTAATCTCAGTGTTCTAAAGAATAGGTTCTAAAGAAAAGCACACAGTTCTGCTCCCTTGACTGTTTGACTTATTCCTAAGGCTGCATTCAGGCAAACCTTTATTTTGTTTTTAGGAACCCTTGTTGTGCTTGTGGCTATCTTTTTACTTTTATTCTCTCTGAGAGAGAAACGCTGAGTATTGCAATAATTTCTAAATGGGAAAATATTTTTTGTCTTGATTAATTTCAGTATATGACCTGCCTGCATAGCATGTCAAGTCACCTTTGCTAAGCTGGAAAGGTGCAAGCTTGCAGCTGGATAGATGACTGCATGTAGAAGCAGAGCAGGGAGTTGGACTTGATGGCCTTAGAAGCCCCTTCAACTGTTCTGTTCTGCTCTGTTCTGTTCTGTAGAAAGCCAAAGAGCGCAGAGTACTTTTTAAGTTTTATATTATGATACATGTGATATATGGATCATGCGTGGCTCACCAGCATATGCTTTATGTCCCTGTTCCCACCCCTGGCATCTCCCACTAAAAGGCTGTGAGGTAGCAGGACTGGAAGAGATCTTTGCCTGCAACTTCAGACAGCTGCTGCATATGGACAGCACTGGCCCAAAGGCAGCATCGGAGGAATTTGGCCCCAATCCTTGGCATATATTCTTTCTGAACACACACTCATGTAAATTCAGTGAATGCCTTTCAAGTGTCCTCCTTTCTTCATATCAGCCAGAATTTTGTAAGTAGACCCTAATGCAGAATTGCTTTCTCTTGAGCAGAGTGTTGTGCTGTACATACTTGGTGATGAAAGAGCTGTTTCAAATGAAGCATCCAACTACTTGTCCAAGATAACTTCAGGTAATAAAATATTGAGGTTTTTCAGACACCCAAGAGGTGTCCTTGCCCATTTCTTGTTAGCTCAAGTGAAAGTAGGAGCTGTGCATTTATCACTCTCTGTTTCTTCCCTTTTAGGGCAGCAGAAGCAACAAAATGAACAGGAAGAATCTCGGTATGTTAATTTGCAGATAGTATAAAGCTGCATTTGGAAACTGTTTTGTTGCTCAAGCCATTTTGTTGCTCAGTTCTTCCTCAGCAGCATGCAGATGCTCCCTACAACAGCCTTCCTCGTCCTGGTGCTCTTCAGATCTCATCATTTCCAGCCTGGTGCCTTCATCTCCCAACATTCCCGTCCAGCATAGCCAATGGTCAGGAATGCTGGAAGTTGCAGGATAAACATCAGGAGGGCATCAGGCTGGGGATCCATGCCCCGAGGGATTCTTAAGGCAGAGGTGAGCAGCAGGTAGAACTCCATATTATTTAGACTTCAATTCCCAGAAGCCTCTGCAAGCTTGGCTAGTGATCAGGAGTGCTGGAAGTTGAAGTCCAAAATATTTGGAGATCTACTTTCTTCCTACTTCTGCTGTAATGCACTCTCTCAATTTGTGTGCCAGTCCACCTTTGTCTCATGATGGCCTCTTCTTCCAAAGGCTCCTGTGATCCTTGAGGTGGTTCCCCCATTTCTTGCCTCTTCCTTTTCTTTCTCCTGGTCTGTTTCCTGATTTGCCCTAGCACAGAGTTGCAACATGCAAAAAAGTAAGTGAGACTTTATAAGGCTGAGGTAGAAAGAGGGAGAGATGAGTGCCTGAATTTGGTGGTTTTGCATCTTTTGTGCATGTCTCTTCCAATGTTTTTTAAATGTTTCAATTTTGGAAAATGTTTTACTGCATTGTACATTCTGTAAAATGTAATCCACCCAGAGATTTTCAGTTATTAGGCAGAATATAGCAATAAATAATAAGCTGAAGTGACTCTCTTAAGCCTATTACTGACAGTAAGGTCTTTAAGCTAAAGAGTGCTTGTATTTTGGTCCCAGCCCTTTTCCTTTGGCTCCTCCCATCCTTCATAATTGGCCAGTGAGAGCTTCTCTGATGTTGAATTTGGGTCTTGGGCTGGAAGAGTTTTGGCACTTATGTGTGCATTGCTTTGACCTGTTTCCCTGTTGTTGTTTAGGTGCAGTTTTAGGCATGACTCATCTGCTTCCAGTCTAGCTGAAAAGCTAGTTGTCTGGATGACAAATGTAGGTAAGGAAGTATTTAATTTTTTCTAGGAATGGGTGTTGCATGCACAAAAACAAATCAGCCAGTTTGAGTTTTGCATGCATTTTTAGAGGTTTTCCTGAAGAAGGGTAGAAAGCTTGTTGTCCTCCACAGGTTGTTAGATTTCAACTCCTGTCGTCCCTGATCATTGTGCATGTTGACTGGGACTGATGGGAGTTGCAGTCCAACTAGCTCTGGAAGGCTTCACATGCCCCACCCTGGTCTGTAATCATGAAGGCTGGAAATGCCTTTTGTCAATGTGTAAAGCCAGAGGGTTGTTCTTTCAGCAAGGTGAAGGCAGTTTGAAGGTGAGATTACTGCTTGGATATATAACCACAACATCACTTCCCACGGTGTTATCTCTGGCCAAACAGTTTTTCTAGGGTTTCAAAAATCTGCAAAACCTATATGACCAAAGGGAACCCAGGGGTGTGGGGGGCAAGAATATGTGTTCACACCCTGGGAAGCGTGCTTTTCTCAGATCATTTTCAGCTCACTTACAGACTGTCGCCTGCCTGGAGATTCTGCTGTAACATTCACTTCTCTGCTCTTTTGCCTTGAAGCACGAATGACTTCATTAGAGCTTTAGATGGATTTATACCAAGTGAGCAGATAAAAGGATTCTTAGCCTTCTTTTCTCCAAAAACATTAGGTTTCACCCTAAGAGACTTGGAGTCTTTGCCATTTGGAGTCGCTCTTCCTATCAGAGATGCAATATATCACTGCCGACAGCAACCTGCCTCTGACTGGCCAGAAGCTGTTTGTCTTCTGATAGGCCGGCAAGATCTTTCCAAACAGGCATGCGAGGGAAATTTGCCAAAATATAAAGCTGTAAGTATCAAAACTTCCAAGGCAGGAAAGATCTTCCTTTCATAGATTTTAGGCATGCAAGTAACTTTTTATGATTTAAATTAAGATTGAGTAATATTCCCAGTTTAACAGAAGGTGCTTTTATGTGGAAGGAAGGGCAAACACAAAGGTTTGAATGAGCAGCTCGCCAAAAAAGCCATTTCTTTCTCTCTCCAAAAGTCTGACACCCAGGTACTCTCGTCCGATATGCCCTCGACTGCAGAGTCAGAGGAGGAGGATGATGGGATGAATGATATGAACCAAGAGGTGATGTCGCTAATATGGAGCGAAGACCTGAGAGTGCAGGAGGTGCGCAGGCTTTTGCAGAGTGCCCACCCGGTCCGCGTCAGTGTAGTTCAGATGCCAGAAGTCAGTGACCACGAATATATAGAAGAGAAAGAAAACCGGTAAATTTTTGACATTCCTAAGCAGCTTGTTCAGAATATCCTGTGTGACAGGACAGTAATCCTCAGGTATTTGCCTGTAGGAACCTCCCCAGCAGCCCTTTCAGCCTGACAATAAAGAAGCTCAGAAAAATGTACCTCACTTGAAAAGATTTCCAGAAGGTAACCTTGTTAGACTATTGCAGCAGAAACAACAAAGAATCTTGTAGCACTTTTAAGGCAAACAAATATATTCCGGCCTAAGCTTTCATGGACTATAGCCCACTGCTCATGTTAGCTGCTTTTTATCTAGTGCAGCATATTTGTTATCAACAATAACTGCATGGTGAATGACTGCCATTAATAATGCAATTGGCATTCTCATTACTTTGTATTTTACTTTAATTTGCATCTCTTTACAATTTCCCCCTTCATATGTGTGACACATGCATTAGAAAGTCTGCATAAAATACTCTGTGCATCTGTTGAAGTGGACTGTAGTCCATGAAAGCTTAGTCCAGAAGGAATTTCTTAGACTTGAAAGTGCCACAAAACTCATTTGTTGTTTTTATTTGCAAAGGTACTTCTGTTGTAGAGGTTAAGATTTGACATCACAGATTCAGCACAATTATAGCCCTGTCTGCTGATATATTGAGTTTTCCATTGACCTATTCATTCAGGGCTGCCATTGGCAAAGTAAATAATTGTATAATGATGCAATGTTATGCTTGTATAGATGGAGAAAAGGCCTACAGCCATGGCATAGTGGGAGTTTTAAGCCTTTTCTCTGTCTAAACATGTATGTTGGCTGGGGTATATTTGGAGTTGTAAGTTGATTCTCTGTACCGTAAGGATTGTACCTTAATTCTCTTAAGACAACTAAGACATAAAGAATATGGATTAATTGTATGGAGAGGCTCACTTGTTGTCTGGGTTCCAGCACCTCTAAAAGAAAGGGTGGGAGAAGAAACAGGGATCAGGTTGCACCTATAGCCTTTGCTGAAGCCCACAAAGAAAAGATCCTAGACTGGAAGAAAACAGAGTTGATCCATTGATCCTTATTACAATCAGCTTAATAGTGCAAAGGGGAAGCCTCTTTACACAGATGATGCTGCTTCCGTAGCAGGAAAGAGAGGTAGGGAGGTACCTCTTGTGACTCTTTCTTCTTGAGCCGATTAAAATATTAGCAGGGGAAGAGGAGTTAAGAAAAAGCTTACATCCTGCTGGACCAACCTAGGTGCTGCATCCTAGAATCCAAGAGCCATTTCTCACACTAAGCTTGCTGTGCAGGTTTAATGTGCCGCTTGGGCAGTGTGAGAAACTCTAGGGAATAATCCATGCTGCAGTTCCTCCTTATACCAGGGTGTATTATCTGGAAAACGTGGACAGCCCTAATCTTGGGGAGAAGCCATGACATCCCACCAGCTCTGCCAAGTTGCATTAGCCAGCTGGCATGAGAAGAAACTGCACTGCAATAGTCCCCATGCTGCTCACCTTTTGTTGCATGGTGACTTTGTATAAAATCACACGATCATATTAGGTGGTGAAGTGTCAAAAGGCCCACAGATTCCTAGGTTTCCTAAGTGCTTCATATGTTGGACTTTTGAACTGTCCTATGTGTTGGTAGAATATTGTGGAGAATTGGTGGGGTGGGCTTGCATCTTACTACAGTCTTACTACATTCTATCAACCAGTATTAAGAATCACACAGCATAACAGCCAGGTTCAAATGTTCATGAGGAAAGGAGACCATGGTGGCTTCTTTTTCTCTGCCCATATGTATGCTTGGAGAGTACAGTGCAGTGTGCCTTATTACCTTCATGGGACATGGCTTGCCATTTTGTCCAGACTTGCTGAATTGTGCCCAACTTGTTGTAGGGTTCTGGCGTGGTTTTGAAACCACACCCCCTGCCACATGTATCACTGAGTTCAGATAACACAGCAAGCTACACCCATTAGGATAATTAGGCAAATTATGTGGTATGCACCTGGAAGTCACTGTGGCTTCTTTTTCTCATGATCATCCAAATCCAGCCCATATGGATAGCATTTATGTTTTTAAGCAGTTGTTACAAAAAGCTTTTCTGTTCTTGGGGTGTGTACATGAACTGCTGTTGCCAACATGGTTTCCATTACTGATTTCCACAGGCTTCTGCAGTTGTGTCAGCGGACTATGGCGCTGCCCTTGGGAAGAGGAATGTTTACCTTGTTCTCTTACCATCCAGTTCCAACAGAACCCCTGCCTATTCCCAAGCTGAACCTGACAGGTGTGTTCAGTAATATTTAGTATGATAAACTGCTTTACCTTGAAATGCAAGCCAGCGTCCTTGCTCATGTTCACTGCTGAATGAAGACTTGTAACTGCCTACTCTAGAGTAGTACCACTGAAGTATGAGATAGAGTACTGAGGAACCTGAAGGAAGGAAAAACTTAGGAATGCTCTGAAGGACATGTAGGCTTCAAGCCTACACTGAGTAAGGCTTTTGAAAGCACACCAACAACTACATGAAATTAGGCTGAGAGCAGCATTTGGCTCAAGACCCACAGTTTGCCCACTCCAGCTCTAGATGATTTGTAGCTGATTTTGCCTTGAATGCCAGTTTTGGTAGAAAAATAGGGTACCCTTAAGCAATGTAAAAAATAGACATTAATGTGATGTGTAAGACACTGTTTTACAGTAACACTGTTCTTTGCATCACACAGCTGAGCCTCTTCTCAAAATCCTGTTGGTAGCATCTTGTTAGGAGGGGGAGTACATTCAGAAGTGGAGCCTTGGAAGCCTGGAGTTGTGGAGCTCCCACTAACAAGAAAACTGCAGAAGCAAAGCGCACTGTACTTACATTTCTGGTTTGGCTCCATTTAACTGGTTGATTTACCCTTTTTTGCAGGCCGAGCTCCTCCTAGGAATACTACTGTGGATCTCAACAGTGGAAATATAGATGTGCCCCCTAACATGGCTTGTTGGGCCAACTTTCATAATGGTGTGGCTGCTGGACTGAAGATAGCACCAGCTTCCCAAATAGACTCAGCATGGATTGTCTACAACAAACCCAAAAATGCAGAACTAGCCAATGAGTACGCAGGCTTTCTTATGGCCCTGGGTTTGAATGGTCATCTCACCAAGCTTGCAACCCTCAACATCCATGACTATTTGACAAAGGTGAGCACATAGTCCAAAGAGCCTTGGGGCAGGCAGTGTATGCATTACCTTTTCTGTCAGCAGAAGAAGGTACTTTGACTATTCAACCACTGCCTGAGCTAAAACAGTGATTAAGTTTACCCAATCATGGATGAAAAATAAGCCACTCTGTTACCATCCTGTGCCAGGTTTGGACTTCACAACAATCCATGTCTGACAAGGATAGTTATATTAATTAAGCAGCTCATGACCAGCACATCTGGGGATGGAAAATAAACCATCATGTTTTATTACCCCACTGTGATGTACAAACTTGATTAGTGACAACTAGAACCATTTGTTATATAGATCTGAACTGTGGAGAATTTCTTACCTATCTGTGGCCCTTCAGTTGGCACAGGAAGTCAAGTAATTGAGAAGCTCCAGCAGGCAAACACTGTTCATGTTAGCACTGGATAACTTGTTATGCAGAGGCTGCCATGCAGACAGCTTTTGTTCACTGAAGATAACTGAGGCTTTAGATTTTGATGTATGTTGCACTGAAAAACAGCATCTATTCCGAATTTTCAATGATAAATGTATGATGTGCTGCAGTAGCTCTTTATAACCGCAGTTTGAGACTCAAGTCAGACTTCATGCCAAGCCATCATTTCTTCTAAACATAGTTTAGGACCTGAACCTGGTTTGAAGTTTCAGATATATGGGCATAGTACAGCTTAAAGTGATTTTTTGCATTTATTTTTTATCTGCTCGGGAGATTGTAACAATACCTGAGCAGTATATTTAAGAGCCAGTGTGGTGTAGTGGTTAAGAGCGTGGGACTGGGACTCAGACGATCCGGGTTCAAGTCCCCGCACAGCCATGGAGCCAACTGGGTGACTTTGGGCCAGTCACAGACTCTCAGCCCAACCTACCTCACAGGGTTGTTGTTGTGGGGCAAAGATGGAGGAGAATGATGTAAGCTGCCTTGAGCCCTTTGTAGGAAAAAGGCAGGATATAAATCCATAAATAAATAAATAAATAAATCTTTTGTTTAATAAATGCAACAATGAATGTGCATAGTGCCAAAATTTCAACACCTTAGGAAGATGTGCAAGATAAAGTATAATTTAATGCATAAAACTGCCACTTGTTGTTAGAAGCTAAAAGGCCATCTTTAATATTTTCTGCAGGTACCAGAAATAAGCAGCTGTTCCTTAACTCTCAGGCCTAGCAATTTAACTTTGCCCTTGCTGGGTAATGAAGTGCTTCAACTGATTCAGGGCACAATCGTATACAAGTTTAGACAGAAAAATGCCTAACGCTCCTAGCATCTCCCATCCATCTATGCTGGGAGTTGTAGGCCATTTTTCTGTCTAAACTCACATTATATTATTCATTTTATTTCTATACCACTCAATATACAACAATTAATAAAATTCAATATGAAATATACATAATGGTAAGAATATCATAACACTTCATTGAAATTTTACAACCACATTTCAGTAGCTAAGATAGGTTCATTCAATTGGTGCCACGTCAGCCTCACTGGGGAGATCATTCCATAATTTGAGGGCTACCACAGAGAAGGCCATCCTCCTTGTTGTCAGCAAGCCTCCTTGGAAGTATCAGTCAGAATTTGGTCATAGCATCTGACTCAATTGTGGCTGGAAGAGCCTTTCTTTCAGGTATTACAGCCCAAATCTGTGTAGGGCTTTATAGGTTAAAAGCAGCACCTTGAAAACTAGCATGGAACTGTGTCTTTAACTTGTCTGTTGGGGGTTGCAGCCCAAATATATGTTAATTATTATTTTTTCAATGAAAAAATAGAACATGACCCATTCAAACTTTAAAATTCAGGACGTTTCTTGAGAATGTGTGTTTAAAAAACTGTTTTCTTGCATGGGGAAATACTGCTGCTCACTTTTTTGGTTTCTAATGGCAGGGCCACGAGATGACAAGCATCGGGCTGCTGCTTGGGGTTTCCGCTGCCAAGCTGGGCACAATGGATATGTCTATCACTCGGCTGCTCAGCATCCACATACCTGCCCTGCTTCCGCCAACGTCCACCGAGCTGGACGTTCCTCACAATGTGCAAGTGGCAGCTGTAATAGGGATAGGCCTGGTGTACCAGGGGACGGCTCATAGGCACACCGCTGAGGTTCTGCTGTCAGAAATAGGTAAAAAACAAAATCAAACAGAGGGATTCTGTTGAGACCACATCTCTATGCTTCTTATAATGTGACTAATTTAATGGATACTTTTTGTTAAAGTGGCCAAGTTTCAGAAGCCAAGAGTCCTCTTGTATAAGGACCATAGTGATGGTAGAATTCACACTTTGCCTGCAGAATGATCCAAGTCCAGTCCCCTGGACAATGAACTGGACCCCAACCTTGATCTGAAACCCCAGAGAGCCGGAATAACTGCCAGTCAGAGTAGGCCTTACAGAATGGACCAGTGGCCTGACACAAGAAGGTAGGGTTAGGGTCCCCTCCGTCGCAGGTGCTTCCTTTTCTTTTGCCATCCCTCACAGCTGCTTTTTCCATCTCCACATCCTCCACTTTTCTGGCTCCCCTCTCCCTTGCTCCTGACACTTTTTTCTGCCTTTCCCACTCACCTTCCTTTCTCCTCTTGCCTCCACCATCCTGATGATTTTTTTCTTTCCTCCTGCCCACACCACTGTCCAGCAGCTTCCTTGTGTTGGGAGCCACACAGGCCAGTTTTTCACTGGGCCAGCCCTCTTTCTAACACATGCTCTGTGATTTTTGCCTTCTCTTTACCTCATCTCAGGCTTTCTTCAAGCTTGTGAAAAGATGTATACCAGTCCTTCCCCTACTCCTTTCCTTTTTCTTTTCTTGCCCCCAGCATGTCACCTCTCTTGTTGTTGCTTGCTGAGGTGTAGAACCATAGAATATTAGAGTTGGAAGGGGCCAGAAGGCCATTGGGTCCCACCCCCTGCTGTTGCAGGGCACCAAGTCACACCGTCCCATTCAGATGATTGTCCAGACATTTTTTTGAGTGTCTTCAGTGAGGGAGAGCCCAGAACTTCCCCAGGTAATAGGTTTCATTGTCATCCTGCTCTGACAGACAGGAAATTCTTCCTGGTGCCTAGTCTAAATCTGGTTTCTTTTAGCTTAAGTCCATTATTCCATGTCTTGCACTCTGGAATGATCAACTCTTGAAATGTGTAGCCACAGAGTAGCTGTGTCTCAGTGATGGAGCACATGATTTTCATGTACGCCAGATTCAATCCCGAATTCCTGCCTGGAAACCTGGAGAGCCACAACTAGTCAATGACAGTATTTGGGTAGATGGACCAAGGGCCTGATTTAGTAAAAGGCAACTTCCTAAGTTCCCAGGCCTACTGCATGCACCAATGTTTTAAAGCACCAGGGATAAGCCTGTCAACCTAGTTAGAATCGCCTGTGTGGTTCTAATGGTAGAGCCTGCTATATATGTGCTGATGTCCAAGTATATAGTATCCCAGTAATATCCAAAAGACAATGAATCAGAATTATCTCCCTTTTTACAGGCAGCATCTGTTTTCCTCCCACTTTTAAAATTGTCCTAATTGCACTGTGTTGGGAAGTTCTTATAGCTTGGTTCACAAGCCATTTAGACTGAATTATTTTAGATGTAACAATTTAATTCCATGGACTTCGAGGAATTTAAATCAGCTTTCATGGCATATGCATGGTCTTGTATATGCTTACTTGAAAATAAGTTCTACTATTTTCAATGGGGTTTACTCCCAAATAATTGTGTATAGGATTGACGTCATAGCTAAATATTCTGGTTTACGCATTTTGTAGATCACAGCATGTGCTGTAGGCTCTATCAGGGGTGGCCAGACTTGGCTCAGTGGAAGAGCCAAGTATGGTAAATGTCAAATGTTTGAGAGCCTCAGGCGGGTGCCTGGATGCAGTGGCTGAGGGCAGTGAGCAGCAAGTTGGTGCCCACAGGCAGCAGTTCGTGAGCCATAAAATAAAAGAGCTGCATGCAGCGCTCAAGCCTTGGTTTGCCCTGCCCTGGGCTATATCAATCTGTTTACCATAAGCCATGGATAGTGATGTCCGTTAAAAGTCTTGGAGCTGACCAAATCAAGATCATTTGGTCTGGATTTTAAATTCAATATGTAATGATCTCTCTCCAAGACTTTTAGACTAGTTGCTTAGAGTAGCTGTTTGCACAAAACTGAGGCATGCTGTATACTTCCTTCATTTTATTTTCTATTTCAGAGAGAAGTCAATAAAGAAGGCAAATGCTTTGCTTATGTCTTAAAAGTAAAGCACCAAATAATGCCTGTTTCCAATGTTTTCCTTTAAAAATCTTTAGAATTGTTTATTTTTTCAAGCCAGTCTATTTGCAATATTGTGTAACCCCCACACACAAAAGGGACGGGGCGGGAAGGGAAGGGACATACATTGAATTTGTTCACCAGGCAAATGTCCATATGAATTTTATGGTGCAGTGGTTGTAAATTGCAGGAAAAGATACAGACTGCTGTATGACTTGAAACACAGATCTTTAAAAAATTATCATAGGCAGAAATAGTTCCTGATGTTCTGTGAATTGGCCCTTAATGTGTCTCTGATAACACTGTTGAACAAAGCAGTATAGTTACACAACTTGGTTCTCTCCAGATGTGTTAAACTGACATCACATGCAGCCAGCTTGAATGTCATGGGAATTGTACAACACATCTGGAGGGCGCTGTGATCGTAAATTGTACTTCAGTCTTGAATTTGTAGTTGAGAAAGAACTAAATGAATGCTTGCTTGATGTTTTCAGTCAACTTACCCTTGGTTTTCTTGGTTGTTTTGAATTAAGGACGCCCCCCAGGACCTGAGATGGAGTACTGCACTGACAGAGAGTCCTATTCACTTGCTGCCGGTTTAGCTTTGGGCATGGTGTGCCTTGGGGTAAGGGCTTCTCTTGTTTCATCAACACTTGTGTGGTTCCAAATTCCAAGATTTCCCCTCAAAAGCAGCAGCCCTCTGTTTGCTGAATACATTGCTTGTGTGAAGCCCCAGGGCTGCAAGCATGTCTGTCTGGCTGTAATCACAGCTGATGGTGGATATGACTGATCTATTTAATCTTTTCTTGTTGGTTCTTTCCTTAGCATGGCAGCAGCTTGATTGGCATGTCAGACCTCAATGTGCCCGAGCAGCTTTACCAGTATATGGTTGGTGGCCATCGGCGTTTTCAAGCTGGAATGCACCGAGAAAAACACAAGTCTCCAAGCTACCAAATAAAGGTTATAGTGCTTTAAAAACAAAACAAACCTGGCAACTTGCTCTTTACCTTGCCAGGCAGGAGTTTTTGCCAACTTTACCTGAAGATGCTGAGGGTGTTCCTCGTGCAGTAAACATGCTTTATTTCATAGCTACAGCCCAGTCACTGAGCTTTGGCAAGAAAAGTTCTTCCTTAACGGAGTACTCAGGATATATCCCATCTGGGTTCCTAGTGAGGCTCAAACCTGTGTTGTTTCAGAGGCAGGGCTCCCCCAGGCATGTCTGAAACATTCCCTAAGCCTGTCCATTTGCCATCCAATGCAATGCTGCTCTGTAGAAACTCTGTATCCAGCTATTGCTGGACTCTGTGATAAATGCACTCTTTATCTTGACAGGAAGGAGATACCATAAATGTGGATGTCACCTGCCCAGGGGCAACTCTGGCACTAGCAATGATCTATCTGAAAACTAACAACAGGTAAGAGTTTTTAGATTTGTGTTCATGAATGAGGTGTATAGCATTTAACATCGCAGACCTGGAAATTGTTGCTGAGCTTGCCTTCCCTACAGCACCAGTAGCTGTTGCATACTAGGAGAAGGATGCCAAAATGCTCCGGATTATCATAGGAGCCATGTGGAATGGGACCGCATGTGGCACAGTGGCTAGATGTTGGGCTGGGGATTGGAAGGTCCTGGTTCTAGTTCCTACTAGGCTATGAAGCTCACTGGGTGACTTTGGGCCAGCCACACGCTCTTTGTTTAGCCTGCCTTGCAGAGCTGTTGTGAGGATAAAATGGAGAGGAGGGAGGTTATGTAGGCCACTTTGGGTTCCCTGCAAGAAAAAATCAGGATATAAATATAATAAACAAATAAACAAAACCCACTTTAACAGAACTGCCAAAAGAATATGTCATCAGTCTGAATTTCTAATCCACTGTATAATCTTGCTTTATGCTTTTGATTGGAAATAAAGCTGCCATTGCTGGCTCATTCAACCAGTTATTCTCTTCTAGAGCACGGTCTGCTGCAGATGAAATGGTTCCTGATCTCTTAACCATGTTGAACTTGGGTGTCCACCCCCTTTCTTTTCACACTAGGAAATCCCCTCTGTTTCTTTTCATAAAATGCTAGCATTACACCTGATTCTTGGGGCTGCTTCCATCCATCCCAGAACACAGGCACTCTCTGGAACTTGATAAAAGCAGTTACTGCTTAGTAAATTTAAGGGAATCTTTCCAGTTCAGTCTGAGCAAGTCTTACTGAAATGTGTGAGCATTGAGGCCTTAGAGCATTGGGCTTTGGAGATTAGAGAGGAAGTCAGTAAAATAGCAAGCAAATTCAGCCTTTCAAGTTATGCTCTGCTGAAGCATGTCTTTGTGTTTCCCTTAGCAAGCCATTTCAATTTGTGGCTCTTTTTATTCTTTGTCAGGTCGATTGCTGATTGGCTTCGAGCCCCAGACACAATGTATTTGTTGGATTTTGTGAAACCAGAATTTCTTTTATTAAGGGTATGTTAATACTTTGGTTTTGGTCTCTTGTTTCAATGCAAGCTGTTCAAAATAGAGTTATTTTTATTACTGTAATAGCATGTGCATTACAATAAAACCTGTGAAATAACTTGGAGTATCTCAGTTTGAATACTCGCAGTCATGTTTCTGTTCTTGCTGTTTGTTTTTTGCCTATAATGCTAGCTTTTCATCACATGGAGCTCATTCCATCTCTGTTTACTTTGCCTAATACAGAGTTTGTATGTGTGAGGCCTGTGGTGGTCAGTAGACATTCAGTAGGCATCAGAAAACACACATGAATGGTCATCCCTTGACAGTCAACATTCAGATAGCCCTCAGATCAGTACAGTATATTGCTTTCCATGTGAGAAATTGTCTGTGAACTTCAGCCCAATAAACTAAACCTAACTGAAGAGAGTGCACAGAAACTCATTAGAATGATAACCTTGGGTAATCAGATTCCAAATCTACAGCCTTAGTATAAATGTTACTTCTGCAGATTGATTCTACTACCCTTTGCTGGCAGTACTGTGGTTGATTCCAGTTATAACATTGCACCCATTTCTTTATAAATACTACTGAAATGATATGGCACTGTTCTCCCATGCTATGAAAGTAATATTTCAGTCAGGCCATGGGGAAGTTAAACTTTAATGGTTTAGAGCAGACTTCCCTTAACCCAGCCATGTTTTGGGAAACTTCTAGAAGTTGTAGTCCAGCGCTGGGAGGGTACCAAGTTGAGGGAAGGCTGGTTTAGGGCATGTTTCTGGTTTATGCTAGCGGTGACAGAAGTGCAGCAAATCCTGTTGTATAACCCTACACTTTACAAGCTTCCCTCCCAGTACACCTAGAAATGCTGATCATTTGCTTACACACTGTAAGACCTAAAGACATTTTTGGGGAATTCTAGCCATCATGCTTATACACAGTATCTTGCCACAGTGGATAGCTGCATTGTGTGAACCTGCACTGCTTTGCAGAGGGTGCCTAGTTTTCGGGAAACAAGGCACCATGACATCCCATGGCATGATCCTGGGCTCACAGTGGGTGGACACGTTGTCTGAATGTGGCACACCAATTCCATTGTGGGTCCAAGGAAGATGCAAGTAAACCACTCAGTGACAGGAGTAAAAATTCTTTGCTGCTTTTCCCAAGCTTACCCAGGCTACAACCAGTTACTGCTGCCCCACAAATATTTATATAGCATTTTGGAGTGACCATTATTGTCTTGGACTTCTCCATGTTGATTATGACCTCTTTTTTGTTTGCTTTTTTCCAAAGAACTCTTTTTGTGATTTCCAAAGTGGCAGCCACAGACAGCCCCTCCAAAAAGGGGCACATTGGAGGGGCTATTCTGAGAAAAAAATGGTCTGTTGAGGAAGAAAAGGGAGCGCCTCAGCAACTACAAAAAGGGTCTCAGTTGCAGGAGGGACAGGAGACAGGACGGGTTCTGTGTGGGGGTTCAAGGGAGCACCAAGTGGGAAGGAGGCACAGGGACAACTCGCAGTGAGCCTAATTGTCTGTTAGGTGCACCAAGGGCAGTTCCACTAATACCCCACATTGTAGAGCTTATTCATAGGGTGGGTCCCTGTGTCATGTGAGCTCACTCTTAGATAGTATTCCCGAAGGCAAGAAAAAAGGAAATGTGGTAAGCTTGTTCTAGTAAAGCTTTTTAAGAAAAATGTGTCATGATTTGGCTATGAAAGCTAGTATCTGATTCCACATAAGAATGTAAATAGCTCAGATCAGCTAATTAACAGTGACAGGTTTGCCAAGCAGAACATTCACATTGCATATATTGAAAGGGGGATCCTCTTGTTTTGTTCAGGGTGCTTCTCAGCTCTGAATTTAACTTTCTGTGTCTAGAACTTCTTTGGCTTTTTCATCGTGATTTCTTCAGAATTCTTAAAACTGTTGCTGTGCTCTTAAGTTTATTACCATTTGTCTCTCTTTGTTTGTTTGCAGACACTTGCTCGGTGCTTGATCTTGTGGGATGATATATTACCCAGTTCGAAGTGGATTGACAGTAATGTGCCACAAGTGAGTAGGACAAATTGAATCACTCTGTTACACCACATCAGTAGTTTTGGGATTTTTCTGTCTTCAGGTAGTCCCTACTGTATAATCTTAACTGCTTGATCGTCTGCTGCTGAACTCCATCCACTGAAGAGGTTTCGGAGGACTAGGGCTTGTGGATTAAAAGATGGCTGTGTTGGGCCTTGAGGTTGCCCATGCATGTCTTCAGGTGAAGTTTGGTAATGGCAGATGAATTTATCATTCAGCTAAGTTTTTCTGCTATTCCTGGCCTTGAGGAGCATGGTCTGTTGCAGATGTTTCCTGAACTCTAATTAATAAGTTGAGAGCATTGCAGAATTTCTGATAAGCACCCAAGACACCTCCGGGTTTCCTTGGGCATAAATTGAAAACCGCTTATCTAAATGGAGGCATCCAGACATTAGTCAGTATCTCCTCATCAGCATGCTCTCAATACATCAAATTATTGCAGAATATATTGGTTATGGAATAATATTTTGTTACCATGGTTCTTTCATTTTCAGCAAAGTTGAAACATCCAAACTTAGAGCCTCATTGCTTGTTTTGATTTAAACACTGAAGTGCACTAATCTAAGAATGTTAGAAGTATAACGTATCATAGAACTTTAAGAAAAGGAAGCTCACTTTCATGAACTGCAGAAAGCTTTGGAGAACTGATAATGGTCTGTTGCATCTGTCGCGTTCCTTTCAGATTGTTAGAGAGAACAGTGTATCCCTTCATGCGACTGAAATGCCTTCATCGGAAGACCTGAATTTGGAGACACTGGCGTAAGTAATTGAATGAGACTGGGGCCTGCTTGCTGTAGTTCTTATGAGCATTGTAGAACCTTATTCAGCTTACTTTTGTGTTGTGGGAGCTGCTCAGTATGACTCCTCCTTATACTGTGAGGATAATGCCAGAAGGCCTGTGCTATGTAAGAAGAGCCCCTTCCCAAAACCAGGGCATTGATGATGTGGAGAGGAGACACAGTGGAATGCCTCTAATATTGCAAGTGTGATGTAGAGCAGATGTCCATAGAAATGAATATTTGCAGGTATTTTCTACTGTTTGCTTTGTTCTTGGAATAGGAAAAGGGCACATGGAATAAGTGATGTGTTCAGTATTTATGACTAATCTGGTCCTCTTTCCATCCATTTAGTTCTGAAGATGTAGGCTTCAGTCTTGTCTTCAAACCAACTGTATAACAATAACATCTTGAAAATAAAATATACGAAGCAGAAAAATTTCCCCTTAAAATCTCAGTCTAAAACACTCCTATTGAACCCTGGCCTCTAGACTAGCTTGGTGGAGCCATGGCATGCCTATAATGTTGAGAGGCTGCAGTCACATGAACAGGGCTGATGTCTGGGGCCTTGACATGGAATTGCTGCCTGGCTGCTAGAAGGGGCTGCCAGTTGAATGTTAAAGACCTGTGTGCTTGGCCCCACCCTCAGGTTTGCAGCCCTTTAACCAATACAGGCGAATTTATGAGCTAAACCTGTAGAAAAGGACTTTGCATGATGCTGCTGTCACATTTAAAAGATGCCTAACAGAGAAGACATTTATCTTGATAAAAACTCAGGAGTGCATTTAGGTGAATCCCCAAAAGAGGCTTCAGCAACCTGCTGTCCTTCAAATGTTTTGAACTACTCCTCCCAGGCAAATCTCCTGACCATTTGCTATGGTGGCTGGGGCTGATGAGAGCTGAAGTCTGAAACAGCTGGAGGGCAGATGGTTGAGGAGAGCTGCTCTAAGACTACTATTGTCTTGTGCTATTTCTAGTCAGTTCAATGAGGCTTGCACAACAGAAGTACCTGGTGGATTATGCACTGTATAATGAAGGGGGGATTTTCGGTCTTCGTTGCAAGCCTTGCAAGACATGTAAGGTCCAAACTCCCAGTGGATGGGTGTGGGCGATCTACAGCCCTCTGCCAAAATTCAGAAGCCATTTGCAAGGAAGCATCCTCGACGTCTGACCTGCACAGTCTGTCCCCCTGCCTCCAGCAGTCTGCTGGGTGGGGAAAGAAGAGAAGATGATTGAAAGAGAGAGGGAGAGAGGGAGAGAGAAAGGCTGGCCCTACTTGTGCTGACTTGTGCTCCCCTGGAACTGATTACCTTCAAGGAAATGTGGCCACTGATAGCAAGAAGTTTCCCTTGCTCTGTTTTAGAGCCTTTGCATGTATTGTATTATCATGGATGCAATGGACATACAGACGTGATGGACAGAAGAGACAGCTTTGTGCATTTACCTTTTCTTATTGGAATCTTTCTCATAGTTTTTCTCTTGATCCTGCGGGGGTGGGGGGGGCAGGAACCTGTGTCTGAAAATCCTGGATTTATTGTATAAAGATAGACCTTTTGTATAGTCTCATATGCTAGGCTGTTTGAGGGCATTTCTGTGATGGGTTAATCCATTTCTCTGTTGTTCTCCTCTAGGGTTTTTTGGGCAATGGAGGCAGAAGGCGCTCAGGCCATTGCATGATGGCCTTTAATTGGAGAGGGAGTGTGAGCCATTCCTGTGATGTTCTGATAAAACGTTTCATCCCTTTCATGTCATTTTTTTTCCAGGCAGGCTCACGTATACATCATTGCTGGGGCCTGTTTGTCTTTGGGTTTTCGATTTGCTGGTTCAGAAAATCTGGCTGCCTTTAATTGTCTGGTAAGTGGATTGGTAGCTGGTGCATATTTTCATGGTCTGTAGGAAACTTGCAGGTTAGAGGCACTTCTTTATGATCCCTAACAGACCCAGGTTCCTTGCATTTTTAATGTGAGGTTCAGGGTTGCAGCAGTACCTATAAAAACTACCTGCAGCTAAAGTCTAAAAGATATGGAAAGGATGTTTTCTCCTGGCTAGGACCTGGTACCACAAGACTGTGTTGTTTTTGCTGCCACAGACTAACATGTCTAACACTCTGGAATTTATTTTATTATTTATAATTTTAGACACCTCTAAACTAAAGTCTAGGTATCATACCATCATTTTAAAGCCAAGCAATAGCACCAAAATCTAACAAAACTATAACATACAATAAAATACCCTGGTTTCTGTTCAGATTGTATAAATATACAATAAACATAAAAGCCAGCTTAATAAAATGCCAGACAAACTGTGTGTGCGCATGGATGCATGTATAGGGGGTGGGGTGAAGTGAGTATCATGAAACCTGGGCTATAATGGAGGTGGCCTTGCTCCTTTTATTGGGTTTATATAGATCTAGGACACTATCATTCTCTAGACAGTGGCTGAGAGTCCATAAGATATTTTGGATTCTCAGATCTAAGGTCAGAGACAGTGTTCTGACCCTTGGAGCTGGGAATCAAAGCTTCAGCCCCCTCTTCCTTTCAGCTGATATGGAAAGGATCAGAAGCTGTTGCCCAAGATCAGAAAAGTGACCTCAAAGAGTGGGGTGAGGGAGTCTTCTCTAGCCTCCTCCTTTTCCTCTTCTCAGTGCGCTGGTTAGATAGGCAAAACAACCCATGTATTGAAATATGCAGGGTGGCAGATCAGGGAAGCAAAGATCACCTGCCCCATTCCTCTCACTCTGCATAGGGTGGCCGTAAGCCTCCAAGTTTGTGGGCATACCCTTAGTGGTTCTTGTCTTAGGGCCAGCTTGTCTTCTGGGATCTTCTAGCTGATCCTATAAAGGAAGGATGCATTGTGCTTCCTTCTGGATGGGATAATAGCAAAGTGGGTGATTTGCATGATTTGGGACCCTAGAGCACTCCCCCCCAGTTGTTGGCCATGCTGCCTGGGATCAATGGGGGTTGTAGTTTGAAGTGTCTGGGGGGCACCAGGTTGGGGAAGCTTGTTCGTATTCTGCCATTCTTTTTAGAGTTGGCTTTTGCTTTTTAATTTGCACCTGTTCTGAATTCCTCTTTTTAGTTCGCATTTGCAAAAGATTTCATGAAGTGTTTGTCCTCAGCTACAGCTTCCATCGTAAGTTTTTCTTTTTCTTAGTAGAAGTGAAACTCAAGACTTTATGATCATGTTCTGGCTGCAAGTTGTTGGAGTGTACTGGGCCCCGCAGTGCCCTACCTTTCTGTCAGGCAAACCAGCAACCAGAGGGCAGCAGTGGGTGCTCATACTGAACCGACCCCGCAACTATGGGAAAGGCCTTGGGTGCCCTGCTGCTGTATTGGTAGACACAAGTTTCCCTCTGCTTTTAGAACAATGACTTATAGATTTAGAGGATGCTTCTTCCAAGGATAGTCGGTTGTGCACATGGCCAGGATTCATGTCTGGGAACCTCAGGGCCTCTAGGTGTTGGTTGTAATACCCATCGTTCCTGGAGAAGAGGGTGTGGCCATCTGGGATTTGGCCTGAGGGACTGAGGTTCAACACCTTTGTTACATATAGTTATCTGGAACTAAGTCCCATTGAACCTGGTAAGTCAGAATGATGGGAGTTGCAGTCCAAGACTTCTGGAAGGCACCAGATTGGGGAAGGCTGTGTTAAACTGTTACATTGCGACTAAGGAGACCTAGACTCAAACCCTTTTTCAGCCAGTGGGTGACCTTGGTAGTAACTCTCTAAATTGCTCTTTGACTTATGCACAGGATGGGTCATGGCTATTTTAATACATGTGCAATTAAAATGCACAGGGTGCAATTCAGGATGCTGCAGTAAACCTACACGGAACTCAGGTGATTGTAGGTTTCCACCAGTGGGAGGGAGGCTGATGGAGGAGAGAGGTTTGTGGTAGGAAATTTCCATATTCTCAGTACAGGGTATGGGAGGGGCAGAAGAATAAAACCATGAAGAATTGAATCATCCCCTAAAAGTATGGATTTCAAAAGCTGACTCAGTTACATTGGTTATTACTCATTTGAAACTGCCTTGGATGAAAAAAATGATAAATGTTTATATTGCATCTGGAAAATCTCAGGTAACTTTTGGGTAGGTCAAACCAGGGAAAGCATCCACAGAGAAATGGGCTGCTTGATATCATAGTGCTGTACTTAATCTTTAGGGTAGTAACTTCTATCAAGTTGCAAGGAAAGTGTTCTTGTAATGGGATTTCCTGGCTTGGCAGACTTCAAACAAGAATGCCAAGGTCCGCAGCTGAGAGCAAAATAGTGGTTTGTGGAAGGCAGATATAGAGTGAATATGGAATCATTCTTTTTCAGTACCAGAACTGAGCTCAGAATCCTTTCCTGGTTTTCCCACCAGCTTTCTTCTTTTCGGTGGTGGTGATGCCTTTTTAATTAATTGGGAAACCATGAAAAGTATAAACAGCAAAAACAACATTACCATCCTTAAGCAACTGGGAAACTCTTGCTTGTCTACTGCATATCACTCAGATCCATCAATACATCCTGATCTAACTTCAATCAGTTTAGTTATGCTAAATTCATTGGGACAAAGAATTTGGGAATGAAGCTGGTAGGCCTTACATAGTACGGTGCATTGCTGAAACTAAATTTTTTAAAAGGCAGTACTGGGATATTGAGCCTCTTTCAGTCCCAGAGAAGTTCTCAGGAATTGTACTGTGTCTGGTTAAAGGCAAAATGGAGTGGAGGCAAAATCAAAATACCATCATATTGTCACTTAAGAGCTTTAAGTGGAACTAGGCATTATGAGAGGGATTTCAACCTTTAAAATGGGAACGCCATTGAAAAGCTGACAAGCCCCTAATTGGCTATTAGGGGAAAGGATGAGCCCAGGATAAAGAGGTTGAGCCTCTGGGGAACCCTGGAGGACTGCAATGGGCTGCCAGTCAAGCTGGATCTGGCCCATAGGCCTGAAGTTCAATATCCCTTACCTGAAAATAAGTCCTGATAGAGTTGCAAGGGCAATGCTGAAGGATGAACTTTTTTCAGTAAGGCTTTTTCCTAAATTTGGCACTGTATGCCTGACCTGCCTTAGGAGCTTAACTAAAATGATTGCATGTGAAACTGACAAGTTCTCTCCTCTGTGTATATTAAGGCTGGTCACTATAACTTGGAAACCTGTCTGAGTGTCGTGTTGCTCTCCCTTGCAATGGTGATGGCAGGATCTGGAAACTTGAAGGTCCTCCAGCTCTGTCGTTTCATGCACAAGAAGACTGGTGGGGAGATGAACTATGGATTCCATATGGCACATCATATGGCTCTTGGACTCCTCTTTTTGGGAGGAGGAAGGTAATGCATTGTTTCAAAGATAACTCCTTTAATGTCAGCATGCATATAACCAGCTAGGTAGCAAACATTAGCAACTGTTAAAAGAACAATGCCTTTGTATTCATTATGGCTGCAAACAAAGATGTGTGTGTTTTTCATGTCCACAAAATTTCTGTGCAAGTACAGAAACTGGTATTTGGGGTAACTGTCAGTCTTACAAGGACTTCAGTCTCTAACTCATTTATTTTTAAGAAACCAGCTGTCCTGTCCTTAGGATGTGGCCTAGCAAAATGCACGAACAGCACTTGGACAAAAGCTTGAATGAGTGAATAGAAATTGCAGTAGTTAGAAAGTGGAGCTTTACTGCTTTAGACAGTTGCATGGTTTCCTGCTCTAGTAATTTCAAATTCCTTTTTTAAAAGCCTGGTTGTAGGATGCAAAACAAATGGTTCAATATTCCTTCGTGCACATGATGTGTTAACACAAGCCAGCTGAGAGGGGCTGAACACACACTGTTAGTATGCAGAAGTCCTGGGTTTAGTCCCTGGCAACTCCGGTTAAAAGCATATTGGGTAACAGACCTGTGAAAGACCTTTCTGAAGAAACTGTTCCCCGTTACAACACACAGTATTAGGCCAAGCAGCTCCTTGCAGCTTTTCCTTGATGGTATTTCCTTCGTGTGGAATTTGGAAGTGAAGATTACAAGCATCCTTAATTATGACCCTGAAAATCCATAACATTCAAGGGTAGATAGCCTGGGGCCCCACAGATATTCTGTATTATAACTCCATCATCCCTAACCAATGCTTGTGGGGCATTAAATAATTTTCCAGAACATCTGAAGGGCACCAGATTGCTTGATCTAGCTTTGATCTCTGCTCTGCAGGGATAAGAACAGTAATTCCATGCTCTTTATTGCCTGAAAAAAGCTTTTTTCTTTGTAGGTACTCACTGAGCACTTCTAATTCTTCAATTGCTGCTCTTCTCTGTGCACTCTACCCTCATTTCCCAGTTCACAGCACTGACAATAGGTAAGACTTAACCAACAGATAGTTAAAAGAAAAATGCCAAAAATAGTTTGGTCTGGAGAACTGGATGTTCTGTACCAAGGGTGCTCTGTTTCAGTGCACTGGTCAGGCTGACTTCTGTGCAGCCTTGGCATATGATTTAGGTAGATTTCACAAATGTGTCTTTGCACAATGAAATGCATATCACAAAAGGGACTGACTTGAATTCAGGTCTTCAAAATCCTGTGTTTTTGGCGTAGTCCCATTGAACCTTTGGGGGCCAGAGACATTCATTAACAGCATGATTAAGTTCAATACTTAACTTGTGCCATCTGTGGAAACCTACCCCCTAAAATCCTAAAAGCCTTAATAAAATTTTCAAGACTTTTGTCAAATCTGTCCAATGTAAGGGAATGGAACAAATTTCCTCCCTTTGTGTCTAGCAACATATAAGAGAAGAGGCTGACATCAGGGAGGACAAGTCCTTTCCTATTCCCAGCCCCAGTCCTGGAACTAATTCTAAATTGTGTCATTTTAAATAAACTGCAGAATTACTATTTAGAAGATGTTTGTAACCCTCTGAAAACTCTCCTGAACAGAAATGCTTAGGCTAACAAGGGTCATAATTCTGCAGAATGAGCTCCAACCCTGAAAAGGCTGTACCTCATATCCCTCCAAGCCTCCTTTAAGAGGAAGAATCTTTAAGCAAGCCCTCTTTGGTGGATCTCAGAAGACAGGGTATCTTCCGTTCTCTTTCCATGCAGGTATCACCTTCAGGCCTTGCGGCATCTTTATGTGCTGGCAGCAGAGCCCAGGCTCCTTGTCCCGGTGGATGTGGATACAGACACCCCTTGCTATGCACTACTTGAGGTTACCTACAAGGTAGGTAGATTCTGTGGGGCAGCAGGCATTTACAAAAAAATGGGGTCAGGAAAGGACATTTCAGAGTGGGGAGACAATCTTCTCCTAAATTGTCCTCCGCTACTAAGCCAATACCTTATTGTGTGGTATTGCTGGAATGGAGAGACCTGGTAAATTATGCTTGTTCTTTGGAGTTAGGAAATCAAATCTCCTCAGAGTTTGAAAAAAGGATTTCATGTTCCCTCTATGGAGAGAAAATGTGAAGAGAACTTTGCACACTCAAAAATATATTAAGGGTACAATTACATTCAAGTTTAGACACAAGAAAGTCCTACAGTGCCTAGCATCCTGATGGATAAGACATTCTGGAGGGCTTTCATTCCTAGGGTGACCATGAATTAAAGACAGGTGGACGGCACATAACAGCAGCAATGTTTCAGAGCAATATTATCTACTCGTCAACAATTATGCGCAAGCAAGTGGAACAGGGAGCATCCATCATGAGGAGAGGACAGGAATTGGAAGGATTTAGAAGCTTATTGCTGCCAACCTGCCTCCCAGCTTGGATATTATTTATTAACTTATTTATTAAAGATTTTTATATACCATTCTATCAGCACATTGCTCCCAGGATGAGTACCTTGCAGGTGGTAGTGAGTACTTCATGATACTGAGTACCTTGCAGGTTCTCAGTCTAATCTTGTGCCACTGCTTCCCTGTTTCAGCCCCAGCAGAGTATATGAATTGGAGCATATGGAGCATATTCTGTAGCGTACAAGAAGCAAGGCCTGCAGGTGTGCTACAATGTGAAGAAAGTGCAGTCCCAGCAGCTTCCCATGTTGAGAGCAGTTCTAAACAGGGAACCTTCATTCACCTGAGTTATTTTGGTTTATTCAGTGTCAGATTTAGCCTTTCTTGGCTTGCTGCCCTCCAGATATGTTGGAATACCACGCCAATTACCCATAGCCAGCATTACCATTGGTTTGCAGGCTGAGGGTGATGAGAGCTGTGGTCCAACACATCTGAAAGGTACCAGGTTGGGCAAGGTTGATCTTAACAGGTATATTCCCAAATTACATAGAATAAGATGAACTTACTATGCTGTTTGTCTTAATGTGGAAAGCAGTAATTAGAATTCTGGCTGGGGATGATGGTGGATGGTTGTTGTTGTTGTTAGTCGTGAAGTTGTGTCCGACCCATCGTGACCCCATGGACAACACTCCTCCAGGCCTTCCACCATCCCCCGGAGTCCACCCAAGCTCACACCAACTGCCTCAGTGACTCCATCCAGCCACTTCATCCTCTGCCGTCCCCTTCTTCTTTTGCCATCTATTGTTCCCAGCATTAGGCTCTTCTCCAGGGAGTCCTTCCTTCTCATTAGGTGGCCAAAGTATTTGAGTTTCATCTTCAGTATCTGGCCTTCTAAAGAGCAGTCAGGGTTGATCTCCTCTAGGACTGACCGGGTTGATCGCCTTGCGGTCCAAGGGACTCACAGGAGTCTCCTCCAGCACCACAATTCAAAGGCCTCAATTCTTTGGTGCTCAGCCTTCCTTTACTACAATGCAAACAGAGTTGCCATGAAGCAGAAGACTTCAATTAAGAAAATAGGTCTGAGTTTGTTTGTTTGTTTGTTTGTTTATTTAAAGTTTTTATATGCCATCCCCACTGCTACACAGCCTCAGGACGGCTCACAACACAAATAAATAAAACAAGTAGAATTACAAATTGCAGTTAAAACTTGGAAACACACTGGCTGCATAATTAAAACTATAAATATTAAAGATTATTAAAATACTGTTTGAATAAAAAGGTCTTGGCCTGGTGCTGAAAAACAATAACGGTGCCAGGTGGACCTCTCTGGGGAGCGCATTCCACAGATGGGGCACCACCAAGAGAAGACCCTCCTCCGGGTACTTTGCTTCCTGATAGCTCTTACGGAAGGCTCCCGGAGGAGAGCCCCTGTTGCCGATCTCAAGGGCCGGGAGGGCAAATATGGCTGCAGGCGTTCCTTCAAGTATCTGGGTCCCAAGCCGTTAAGGGCTTTATAAGTAATTACCAACACCTTGAATTGAGCCCAGACTTCGATGGGAAGCCAGTGAAGCTGGTAGAGGACTGGGCTTATATGAGAATAACGCCCAGTCTTCGTCAGCAACCTGGCTGCTTTATTTTGCACCATCTGAAGTATCCGGACTGTCTTCAAGGGCAGCCCCACATAGAGCGCATTACAGAAATCCAACCGGGAAGTAACCAGTGCATGTGTCACTGTCGCTAGGCAGTCGTCCTCCAGGTAGGGACGCAGCTGATGGATCAGCCGAAGCTGATGGAAAGCGCTCCTCGTCACCGTCGACACTTGAGCTTCCAAAGTCAGCTCCGGGTTGAGGAGCACTCCCAAGCTGCGGACCCTGTCCTTTTGAGGGAGTGCAACCCCATTCAGGACAAGATCCAAGTCACCTACCCAGGAGTTCAAGCCACCTACCAGCAGGACCTCCATCTTGTCTGGATTGAGCTTCAGTTTATTGGCCCTCATCCAGGCCATTACCTCGGCCAGACACCGGTTCAGAACAGCCACTGCCTCACCTGGATTGGTGGAAAACAAGAGGTAGAGCTGGGTATTATCAGTGCACTGATGATTCCGCAGCCCACACCTCCTGATGACCTCTCCCAGCGGTTTCATGTAGATGTTGAAGAGCAAGGGGGACAGAATAGACCCCTGCAGAACTCCATGGCATAACTGCCATGGCGCAGAGGTAAAGTCCCCCAGCCAACCACCACTGCCAAGCAGTGCCTCCTACTCCCAGCCACCTTAGCCTATCCAGAAGGATACCATGGTCGATGGTATCGAAAGCTGCTGAGAGGTCCAGGAGAACCAGCAGGGACGCACTCCCCCTGTCTCTCTCCCTGCACAGGTCATCATACAGGGCAACCAAGGCAGATTCAATACCATACCCGGGTCTGAAGCCAGACTGAAATGGGATTAGATAATCAGTCTCATCCAAGAGAGCTTGGAGTTGTCCCGCCACCACCCGCTCCAGCACCTTGCCCAAAAACAGGATGTTGACCACTGTAATTGACAGCCATCTCTGGATCCAGGGACACCTTCTTTAGGACCGGCCTGACCACCGCCTCCTTTAGAGGGGCAGGCACCCGGCCGTCCTTCAAAGAGGCGTTGATGACCTCCCGGATCCAGGAACCAATCCCGTGTTAATTGAGTTATAGCACACTTTCTGTCATTACACATCAGAATATTTTTTGCCTAAAGTGTTTTGTTTTTACAAAGGGAACTCAGTGGTATGAAGAGACAACAGAAGAATTAATGGCACCCACCCTCCTCCCAGAACTTCACTTGCTGAAGCAGGTATGCAGCAGTCCGACTTCATGGGATGCAAATAAGCCAGGTAGCCTGGCACAAAATACTATGCTTCAGGGCTGAAGAAGCATCTCGTGAATTAATGAGTAGCACAAAGCACTGTCTGTCCCTCGCTTTGCTCCTGAGACTGAAGCCTCTTTGTTGCAAATGGTAACTAATTTGAATCAACACAATTAAAATATTTTTAAAGTTCCAAATAGACAGCTTTGAAATTACTGCTTGTTAATTATCTTTTATACTTCTTTTACATTTGCACATCCATTATTTCACTGCAAGCCATTCTAACCTCAGGTTGTAGCCATGCTGAGGCTGGACAGATGGGAAATGACTTCATTGCCAGCTTAATAGGCCCTATGTTCTGTTTAGTATATCTTGCTGCAACCTAGAGGCATGACCAAGATTGTATATTAATGCACAAAGGCCACAGAGTTAATGGAGCGGGGATGGGAAAGCAGTTACAGTTTTAATATTTTCAGTGTTCGGTTAGTTCCTCTTCTGCAGATATATTGTGCTAGTAATTTGTCTCAAGCTGCATTGGTATAGAAATAGCTAAATAAAAGAGAAAAGCATTTTTCTATATATAGAACACCAGTTAAATTTTTAAGTGAGCTGTGATAACAGATTTCTGCTATGTTAAGTGGCTGGGCTCCATCCCCGCACCTTTTTTGTGTGTCATGGTTCTAGAGATCCCCTGACTCTGTGTGTGTGTGTGTGGGGGGGTGCTTTGCAGGAGCCTGTGGGGGGTGGGGGGGAGAGGACTTAGGAGTAGCACCATCTGTGGTTCTTTGGCTCCTAACCAATATATATCATTTTTTTTGTATAGCTGAACTATTTTTATATTTCTAGATCAGAGTGAAAGGCCCACGATACTGGGAACTGCTGATTGATTTAAGCAAAGGCACTAACCACCTAAAGTGAGTAGTCATGCTGAAGGTTTTGCCTGCTTTCACAGTGCTCTACAATTACAGCTCTCTGCAGACACACCAGAATCCAAATCTGAGGTGTCCCTGCGGTTTTTACCAAATCTTGTTTGCAAAGTTTTGTCTACTCGGTGGTGCTGAATCAAGTATGGAGCTTTTAACTTTTTTTTTTTAAACCAACAGTCCTGTCCACCTAACTTAACAGTTCTCTCTGATGTGTGGAACATGCTTGGATTCCATTCTGAATATCAGAGCAGACAAAAGAATTCAGCACAATCTCTGGAGCAAGGTTAATGCAAGAGAAGCAAGAAACAGGACTACAAACTCCCTTTATTTGCCTTTCATGCATGCCAATATATCAGTGGGGTGGTGTATGGGAATAGTAAAATCAAATGACTCAAAGGAATGGAAGCAATAAGGCAGATAGCCAGTTAACCCATCAAAATAGTGTTCTTGTCCTCCAAATAGTTAATAATTTGCTAAGAAAAAAATCTCCTAGAACTGCTCGATAAAATCTGAATCCTCTTCCTAAAATACTTTGGGGATCACTCCATTATCTTCAGTTATGGGCTGTATTCCTTGGCCATCCCCATTGCTCTCACTTCTCTTTTGGCTTATTTATCTATAGAGTCTTGTCACACATTCTTGCATCTTCTAAAGGGCATGCAATGTAGCCACTTTGCTGAAGCTAAGTAGGGCTGGGTTTGGTCAGTGTCTGGATGGGAGAATACCTCGAGCCCCTGTGGCCAGTTCCTTGAGAACCACGATAGAAGAAAGGCTGGGTATAAATGTACCAGGTAAATAAAACTGAAAAACAAATGGTGCTTCATATAAGCAAACCTGGGAAGAAAACCTAGGGGAAATGTATAATACTTAGTGCAATGCTATAAAGTGTCCCTGGTGTAATAGCAGAATAGATGACCATTTATATAACTTATTAAACTGAAGAAGCATTTGAATAATTGCATCCATTTTACCCCCCCCCCCCCGTTTCTCAGATCAATTCTTTCAAAAGATGGCGTTCTGTATGTAAAGTTGAGAGCTGGGCAACTTTCATACAAGGAAGATCCAATGGGTTGGCGAAGCCTGCTAGCACAGACGGTCACTCATCGCAATGCAGATGCCAGGGCATTCAAGGTAGCTTCTGTGCCATTGTCGTGTTAAGAAGCAGAACGTGCACATTTGCTGCCTTCCAGTCATTCTTCAGTGCTAGTAGTTGAAACAATGAGTTTGGGTATCTTACAGACATTTTGGCAGGCTTGAAAGTGTTTGCATTTGCACTTTGAATTGATTCAAAGCACTTTGAATTGATTTGTGGATATTTGCTAGAGGGCTGGAAATCCCAGTTGCCATTCAAAAATTAAAGCACATTTTGATGGAATGCTCAAAAGGGAATTCAGAGAAGATACTGGCAAAAGTTGCTTTGCATTTGTGTGTCTGGGGGTGTGGGGACAGAAAATCATGGCTTGAAATCCTAAACTGGTCAAGAACTGACAAAGTACTACATTGGCTGAATGCTGGAGGCAGAAAAAGTCTTCCTGAACAAGGTTTGGGTAAAGAGCATCAGGCTGCAGCAGTCATTTGGTTACAGATTTCACTGGGAAGATTCCAGACTCCTCAGTGTTGGCCACTATGGCATCATACATACATGTGAATAACCTGTGCAGCTTTTAACCGCTTTTGAGGAAATTTAAATGGTTTCCTTCATTCTAGAAGGATTCAGATTATATAGTTTTGCTATGTTGGCTGTGTTAAAGTAGCAAGTATTGTTTTAGCCGCATACAACTCTTCTGTGGTAACCAGCCCAGGGAGCCATGTGGCTAGTGGGGTGGGCTAAAATCTAATAAATAAATGCCTAACAATAAATGACCTCACAACTCTGGAATAGCCTCCACACTTAAATTCATTTCTTGGGCTTAAGTTGGCTTCTAAAGACAATTTTATTCCAGTAATTGTTTAGGTGGTTTTTGTGATGCTATAACTGTTTTATCTGCTGTTCTTTTTAACTTCTTGTTTTACCCGCTGTATTGATTCATATGCTGTTGTTCTTCCTTGTGATTGTATGATAAGTTAATATTTTAATGTTGCTTTGTGTAGTCCTTTACTGAATCTTTTAAATCACACCAGACAGATCACTTATCCCAAAAGGTAGTTTTAAAGCCCATTAAATAAAATCAATAAATCAAAGTCAGGGCAGATCCTTTTGTTCCAAGATAATAACTTTTTCCATGGATTTTTTTTGGCCAAGAAGTTCATGCCCTTTGTCAGCAAAGTGACAGGTTGCAGTGAGGAAGTTTTGTGTAAATGGCAGTTTCCCATAAAGCACAACAGAAAAGGAAATAATTTAAAATGTCACTTTAATTTCAGCCAGAAGCTATTTCAGCTTTCACATCAGATCCTGCGCTGCTCTCATTTGCTGACTACTTTTGCAAACCAGCTACAAATATGGGGCAAGTACGTTGTTGGGTGTACACTGAGCTGGGGAAGTGGGGTGGCGGTAGGGTTGTGCCTTAGTAATGATGATGATTTTCATGATACATATTTTCAAATGGTTTGATGCTTTAGAGTACAAACTGTGCATCATCAAAGCAAGGAGATAAACGCAAGTTTAGAGGACAGTTCAATATGTATTAAAATATTTCTTTGTAAAAATATTCAGCTGTAAATGCAAGCTCTTATGGGCTGGTGTCCTTGCAAGAGCTTGCCATAACTATGTCCATGCCATCGCTGGGATCCAGACAGGAGAGGAACGGCAGGCTCCAAGTGACAAGAGGGCTGAAGAACAAGGCCTCGGGCTGCGTGTTGGAGCACCCCAATTTATATTTTGCCAAATCTCTGCTGATGGATAACATTCCTGGCATTCCTGAATTCCACTGAATCCTTTTTTTTTTGTAAATTGTCTTGAGATTTTATAATAATCAGACAGTATATAAGAAATTTTAAATAAATAATAAATAAATATGTACTCTGCCCTGTCCAATTTCGTAGGCAGCATGTCAGTGAATATTAGGTGTTAGGGAAGAGTGGAGAGAGGGCTGTTGTCTTCATGCATTCCTTGTGGCCTTCCCAGAGGTATCTTTTTACAACTGTGGGAAACAGAATGCTGGACTAGATAGGCCTTTGGTCTGATTCAGAGCAGCTCTGGTTAGGCATTTATTGAGGTTCTTGTGGTTGTGCAAGTTATATTTAAAGCTACTGACCATCCAGAGACATATATTCTGGCTTGCCCATGATACAGCTTCACAATTAAGGATGTAATAATATAAGATGCTATTTTAGAATGAAATTCAAAATTTCCTTATGCATAGGTGAATTGGGAAGGTCATCTTAAACTGTTCTAAGGCATCAGGAAGACCTGAAAACAGCAGTGGGGACCTATCCAACCCATGTGCCTGATCTGACTTTTCATTGCCTTTCTTTGTGGCCACAATCCTCATCTGTTGCATTTCCACTGTGATTTGGTGATGTAGGATGAGATTGGATTTTTCTCCATGGACTGCTTCATTTCAGGCAGATAGAGATTGCAAGGAGAGAAGGGAAATGAAAGTAAAGGGGGACAAGAGAGAGAGAATACTGCCCTGGCTACTTCAGTTTGGGGTGTACCCTCTTCTGGCCCTGGGAGAAATTAAAGTAGCACCTCCGATTGGAATGGTTTCTCACCAAAGGTATTTTGTATTTGTATAGAATTATTTTTTTAACAAAGAAAGGAAAGTTTGAGCAGAGAGATACACCTCCTAGCTGAAAATATTGACCATGACAGAGTTTGGTGAGGTTATCAGGCAAGTAACAACAGTCACCAGTAGATGCCATGCATGGTCTGCCCTGGTTGAATTGCCTCTTTTTTCCCTTCCCAGAAACAGGAAGTGTTTGATCTTTTCTCATCTATCCTGTATGAATGTGTGACGCAGGAGAATCCAGAGATGCTGCCGGCTTATATTGCAATTGACCAGGTAAAGGATGCTGTGAAGTTCTTCACTACCACCAAGTTTGCTTGTGCACACGATGGTTTATTTCCCTGCTCCATTTTTTAAAAAATTAAAAAGCAGAAGCAATTCCTCAGTGCATTTCTAACAATGAAAAAACATCAACATGTTTCATATTCTGCTTTGAAGGAGTGTATTTATGCAATCCCTTTGTATAGGGAACTGTCACCTGGTTTCTGTATATTCCTTCTGTGGTTCATTAGTATATTTCCTATTGTTTGATCTTGATTTCAAGCTATGGATATGTTTGTATGAATGACTCATCACAGAAGAATCGAATCACCAAAGCTATGTAGGAGAAATGTAGTTTTTTCCCTACACTGTTAATTTATTCTGTTTCCTTTTCTACTAGGCTGTAAGAAGATTAGAAAAAAGAGAAATGTCGGAGACATTTGACTTGTGGCAAATAAAGTTGGTTCTAGAATTTTTTAATTCCAGAAGTCACCAGGAGAGAATGAGGAAAAATCCACACCTGGGGCTCTTCATGAACTCAGAGTTTTTACCTGTGATGAAGTGTTCTATTGATAATACACTGGACCAGTGGCTACAAGGTAAAAGTCACTACTTGTTTGATGAATCTATCAAGTTCTGCACCCTGACAGGTATTATGCTGGATCAGACTGAAGACCAAACTAGTCCAGTATTCTGTTCCCCTAGTAGTCATCTGGAAGCCTATGAGAAACCCACTAGTGGTGTGTCAGTGCATTAGCAGCCTCTTGCTTGGGTCCTCCAGCAAGTGCTACTGTTGGGTTCAGACAACACAAGAAGACATGGTGGTTTCAGGGTCTAAGCACTATACCACGTCAGTTCTCTTGTCAGTTGCAGCAGTCCCTTGATAATTTTAGTTTCCCTTTTCTGCTTCACTGATTCACTACTAAGTCAAGAGCATGAACTCCTTTTCCCATTTAATTTGGTTGCAAAGTAAAACAGCTACTCTGTTCACACTATGATTTGAAGTAGTTCTTTTTCTTTAAAAACTGCTTCTGTCAGCTTTTGACAGTATTTATTCCTTCCACTACTACCTTCAGTTTAAATATTCTTTGAGCACCTCATATCAATATATCCTAAGATATATTACAACAGGAAAAGCAAAGGAAAAAGAGGGCATAAAACAAACAAAATCCAGGTACACACAAAAAATCACAGCTTAAAAATTAGAAGCCTCAGAAGTCAAAAGATTCTTTGCAGGATGCTGAAAAGACTGCCTGGTAGGTGAGCATCTGCATTTGATGGACCATACTGAAGGAATTCAAGAAGCAACAGTGAGAACTGGACATGGAACCACTGATTGGTTCAAAATTGAGAAAGTTGTTTGGCAAGGCTGTATACTGTTTCCCTGCCTATTTAACTTATATGCAGAGCACATGAGAAAACCAGGGCTAGATGATTCACCAGTTGGAATTAAGATTGCTGGGAGAAATATCAACAACCTCAGACATGCAGTTGATACCACTCTAATGGCAGAAAGTGAAGAGGAACTAAAGAGCCTCTTGATGCAGGTGAAGGAGGAGAGTGCAAAAGTTGGCTTGAAACTCAACATTAAGAAAACTAAGATCATGGCATCTGGTCCTCTCACTTCCTGGCAAATAGATGGGGAAGAAATGGAGGTAGTGACACATTTTATTTTCCTGTGCTCCAAGATCATCACAGACAGGGGCCGCAGCCAAGAAATTAAAAGACACTTGCTCCTAGGGAGGAAAGCTATGGCAAATCTAGACAGCATACAAAAAGCAGAGACATCACCCTGCCAACAAAAGTGTGTATAGTCAAGGCTATGGTTTTCCCAGTTGCAATGTATGGCTGTGAAAGTTGGACCATAAGGAAGGCTGAGCACCAAAGAATTGAGGCCTTTGAATTTTGGTGCTGGAGGAGACTCCTGTGAATCCCTTGGACTGCAAGGCAATCAAACCAGTCAGTCTTAGAAGTGACCAACCCTGACTGCTCTTTAGAAGGCCAGATACCGAAAATGAAACTCAAATACTTTGGCCACCTAATGAGAAGGAAGGACTCACTGGAGAAGAGCCTAATGCTGGGAACAATAGACGGCAAAAGAAGATGGGGATGGCAGAGAATGAGGTGGCTAGATGGAGTCACTGAAGTTTAAGTGGACTCTGGGAGATGGAGGACAGGAAGGCCTGGAGGAATGTTGTCCATGGGGTCACGATGGGTCAGACACGACTTTGCAACTAACAACAACTGAAGGAATGGTGAGGAGGTTGCTAAAGTTCAGCAGGTAGTGTAGTGAACTATCTCAGTGTCCTAAAGCCAGTGAGGTAGTGATGCTGTCAGGCATCTTCAGCTTGTTAGGAAGATCACCAGCAATAATTGCTTTGAAGCTGCCTTTCCCCACCATTCCATGCAAAAGGGCTTTTTTGCTGCAAGAATGAAAGGGTTTGCCTTACTGAAGCAGCTTTGCCCTCCCCCCTGCCCCCTGAAAGAGATGTCAGAGCAGGAAACCGATATGTCCACAGATAAAAGTATGAGTGTTCCTTTGCTTGTCTCTGTTCCGCATCTATATTTCATCATTGTATTCAGTATATCCACAGGTGGTTTTGTTTCATCCTGAAAATCCTTGAATTTGAAAGTGAGGTGCAATTGTAAAGACAAATAGAGAGCGGGCAGCAAAAAGACAGCCCCTTGAGACATGAGTACCTTCAGTGATGACAAAATGCTGACAGAATGAGAAGGGTTAAACTAGAGGGCATGGAATGGCGTATCCTGGAAAAAGTCACAGCCGTTTTGCTGGAACTGGAAACAGAAGCAACCCCCCCCCCCGCCGTACATCATTTGATGACTAAATCTAATCTGATCCGCTCTCATTGTGTGTTGTAGCTGGTGGTGATGTCTGCTTGCACTCCTATTTAAGTGGACAGCCTACTGATGACTCTCAGCTAAGTATGTTGGCCTGCTTCCTTGTATACCATTCAGTCCCAACTCTGGGACAACTTGTAGCTGGAGGCCTGGAAGGTAAAATTATAATTCATTTCTTTATTTAAAATAAACCAGCCAACTTGGTAAAACCATGTAGCTTTGAACAGTTGACCCATCTTGCCCCAAGCATTTAGGAACCCTGGAAGTTGTTTTATACTATCAAACCATTAAGATGCAAGTTTTTCCATCTTTCAACAAAAAAGCTGAAAAAACAAAACGAAGTGCTGTGTTACTTTATCTGTGAATAGAATAACTGATAGGCTCTTGTGGTATTACCTTATGTTATAAGAGATAGAATTAGTTATTGGCAATGCAGATAAAATGTGGCTCTTGGTTAGTATGTAGTTTATATATGGTACAGGAGAGCCAAATTTCTAAAGTGGGTGAGGCCACCTTTCTACTTCCAAAATTCATAATTTTGATATGTGCATTTTATCTGCAGATGTGATTACTTTCCCTGCTTTATTCTCCTAGGTAGTGCAAGCTTCTCAGAACTGCTTCTGAAATTCAAGCCATTGAAAATGCCAGTCCGTGGACTACTAAGACTTGCTCCTTTGCTACTGGGAAATCCACAGTCAATGGTTTCGTGAAAGCAATAACATGAATTTAACATAACCACATGACCAAATGCCGGTACTGATGCAGTATTTGACATTAAACGAAAGACACATAAATGAGGTCGGCTTCACTTTCAAGTTCACACTTTGAATACATTTTTCATTCCCCTTTTACGTTTTGAGAGTGATAAACAGAAATTTATATATTGTTGGATGATTGATATGCCTGTGCAAAGTAATGCATTTACTTTTTTGTAAACAAAGTTTGTTTAAGAAACAAAAAATGAACACACCCCAGCAACACTGCTGCAAAACACCTTGATAATATATTTAGCAAATAAACCATCTGGAAGTAATTTGTCAGCCTTTTTTCCACCCAGCGTCACTGGACCAGGCAGTTGATTAATCATTTCTAATTGTATCAAAGCTATGCAGACGGCAGACGGAATGGATGAAACCTCTGAGGGCAAAAAGACGCAAAGCCAAGCTTAGCTGCTTCTGTGAAGCCTGATTTGCATATATGTTTCAAATTGCTCAAAACAAGCAAAACATGCAGCATCCTATGCTTCTTATATCACCTATACTTCTTCAGTATAGGTAGGAGAATGATAGAGATGCTACTTTGGGATAATGAAGAGAAAGAATTTGCTCATTCTCTGAAATGAGCCCCTGGAACTGCAGTGTGTTCTCATTGATGCCTTTCTCCTCATTATTATTATTATTATTATTATTATTATTATTATTATTACTATTATAACATTTCTATGCCGCCCCTTGCCGAAACCTCGGGGCGGCTTACAACATGACATTACAAGAAGTGCAGGGCTAGCACTGAAAACTGCCATCATGTGCCATGGTCATTCCTTTTATATTTACTATTTACTTTAAACATTTTGATACTGCCTCTAAAGAGAAAGCCGCCTTAAAGTGGTTTACATTTTTTTAAAATGAAAGCTATAACTTTTCCTGTGCCCTGATGTTAAGCACATGTGTTTCCCCTACATAGGTCAGAGGAAGACACACAGAAAGTTCCAGGTTACATTCCTGTTATTCCCACTTGAAAGGAACAGGGAGCAGGTGTAAGAAAGCCCTCTCCCTGCTTGGGACCCTGGAAATCCACTGCTGCCAGCACATAAAATAATAGGCAGAATTGTGACTTGAGTCTACACACAGCATAATATTGTTCCATGGGGCATAATATGGGAGGGGAGGGGGAATTGGACATGGTGGCTGCCCTAGTTAGTTTATTTGTTGCTTCTTTGCCCTCAGTGAACTGAGCATTGTTGAAGGTTGTGCTTGTTTAGGGTGCCGGGAAAGCAGCAAGGTTTAATTTAAGGGAAAAGAGGGAAGGATTCCAAAGTATCAACATAAAGAGGAAGTGAAAGGGTAGAGAGGGAGGCCTCAAAAGCATGCTGTCCTGCCCCACCCATCCAGAGAGGGAAATTTCTCAGGAATTTCCCTGCTGCAAAAAGGGAAGCACTGGTGAGATGTGGGGGTAGAGATATTTGTGGGTTGTTTTATTTTCATGGGGGTCCTGCACCCCTAAACCCCATGAATGTGGAGGGCCAACTATACACGATCCGACTTGCATACAGATTTAACTAAGAGACAAATTTCTGTTTTCTCAGGAATGGAACTGATTTGTAACCTGGGTCTGTCTGTATTGTGATTTAGGGACAAAACCTCAGGAAGTACGGTGGTATTGAAAGTTGCAAAAATGAATCCATGCCCCCAAAGGAATAAAAGGTTACATGGAAGTGCTGCTTTTTAAAGAGGAATTTTAGTCCTCTTAGAGTATGTAATCCTAATAAGCCTGTCATATCACTAGAGGAAATGTTACTCAAATTATAACATTTTGAATAACAGTGCAAATTATATTGTGCTAGACTAAAAAACACCTAGTGTAATGCCAATAGCATTAGCTTGTGTGGTGGGTCTCCCTGGAAAATCTGCCATGCAAAGCTATTACTTGTATTATATTAAAGTACTTTAATGTGATATAATTTGCATTAGTGGAACAACCCTGTTGTATACTGCTCAGTATATCTAAGTATTTATTAATCCAGGAACTGCATTTGGCTAGAGCCTTGTAATTGCATACTATTTGTGAACTTAATGGTGCTGCAGCACAATTATTTTTTAGTCATTTTCCCTGAAGAGTTTCAGTTACTTTTAGAATATATTAAGGGACTGAGCACAGGGCCTCTGCATGACCCTAATCTAAGAGAAACCAATATCAGCTACTTTTTGACCTGGCATGTGGTCCTTCAACATCTCAAGAACTTTTCACTCTCTACCCTGGTTCTGTTAAGTTGCCTAAAGCAGGTTTAAATTAAAACTTGCTTATTTCCCCCTCCCCACAAATTAAATCCACTATCCAGACTTTTGGAAAGATAACTACTGTTGCTCCATGGTAGCCTTTACAAAGGACAGTCCAAATTCAGGATGTCCAAGTCTGGTTTAAAGATAAAAGATATTTAAAAAATGGAAAAGCAGTGGTTATCCATCAACATGGACACAAGCCAAAGCAGCACATGGGTTAGCTGATCACAGTTTTTCCCACTTACGGTGTGAGATTTCTATTTCAGTGAGTCATTTCTATGTGCATTTCTAAGTCATTTCTAAGCCTATAATCAACACCTGCATGTTTGATACATTTTGTTGCATATTTCCCGTTTCTGGGTGATGCAAAAATGGCCAGAAAACTAATGTGCTTGGATTACTATGAACCTATAAAATTGCCTTATTTATAATTCATCAGAATATTGTTCTGCCTAGCACATTTTCTATTCTCAACTTTTGGAGGAGGGCTATGATCCTTCAGATGATACTGGACTGCAGCTATTATCAGCCCTGCCTATTGGTTATGCTGGCTAGGGCTGATGGGAGTTGCAGTACAACATCTGGAAGTCCAAAGGTTCCTCATCTTTACGGTAGAGGTTTTCCATGGTCTCAGGCAGAAGTGTTATGCCAGCCCTGCTGCCTGAAGTTCTTTAAATTGGGGATTTCAGAAAAAGAACTGGAAATCTTATTTCATGAATAAGACCTTTTAAGTGCCTGTGATGTGGTCTTTTAAGCTATGGCACCTAAAGAAACTCACTGCACATTCTAGATGGAATGTGAGACCAAAAATAAACCTCTGTTTACTGATTGCAAACCATAGAGTATAAATGGAGAGCAAACGGAGCTAACAAGGCAAGAATTGAAAGAACAAGCCACACTGATTATAGGTGCTTTAAAAATAGGCATATAATAGTCAAATGAGAGAGTAATTTCTGGCCACTGTGAAAGTAGATCTGCTAAAAGTCTAAAGTGAGTGCAGTGACATTTATTGACAGATAAGCTTGGACAGAATGTAGCCTTAGCAAGCAAGCTAGCGAGTTTTGTTTTTTTTTTTAACCAATGATGTCTTTTCAACTTGCTAGCAAAACTTGCTGCCCATCTAAGGTATGGACTTTTCGCCTTACACGCAACTGTTGCAAGCTTATCGTGTCTGAGAGTTTTAAACTGACAGTATTCGATGAATTTGGAAGGGGGAGTAAAACGGAGCGGGGGACCCCTCCACAAACCTTGACAGCACAATTAAGGAATATGGGTTTCTTGCTAAGAGTGAAGGAATGCATTAGTTTCAGGCTTAAGAGGAAACTTCCTGCCCCAAACACCCAACTTCCTTCCCCCAAATATTGCTGGCTATATTACCAGAACACCGCCCCCAGGTTCGTTGCTTACTGTTCTTGCTGTGTGAACATGAAACCTTCAAGTGGGCAGAAGCAAACGAGTTAAGTTTTAGTGGTTTGCAATGAATGAGAGGCAGTCAAGGGATCCGAAAAGCGACAAAGTTGTGTGGATGGGGTCTCTGGCACCTTTTGCAACCGGTTATTAAGGGCGGCGGGCGCGGGGGCATACAGGCGGGGCTGGAGGAAAGCTATTGAGTGAAAAGGCGTGTGCCCCGGCATGTCATAGATCAAAGAGAGAAACTTCCTGTTTCCCTTAAAAAAAAAAAAAAACGCTGTCACAGAATTTGAAATCAGCCGGTAACGTGACCCGGACCAATGATCTGGGCAGAGAACGAGTTTCATTTCTGGCGCCCGTTACAAATACGAGTTTTGCACTTCCCGCTACACACGTGGAGGCGGAGTTGGCGGAGGCGCTTGTGCAGAGCGCGTTGCAATTTTTTAGGCTAATCTGAAGAGGGATGAATGGCTGACAACTAATTTCGGGGTGCTGATTACAGATGAGAAACCCGGTGGCCTGAAGTTATGTTGGTAAGGTGTAACCCCCGCTCTCTAAAGATCCCCTTTAAAAACTTCGCTTAGGGGACACAACAGCTGGCCGCGTCCTTTAGGCGCAAGTGTTGACCCAGCTCACTCTCATTGATACTTTCGTAATAATATTTGACGTGAAGCTCCGAAAGTCCCATTTGATACACTGCGGGGCAAATACCCCTGCCTGTAAAATCAGTAAGGATCTCACAGACCCGCTCTGTAACCTGTTCGGTGCTTAATGGGGAGGGGAGATAAAAGGTGTCTGATAGAAAAGTCCATCCCCCTAATACCTGATGGGTGGAGACTTTGTAAATTACTCAGTGTTGAGAGAAACGAATTCTGAATTCTTCAAATATTCTTGGCTTTGAAAAAATAGGATCTGAAACGGCCCTTTCCTTGTCTGTCTGCCTGCTTTGCTAGTTACTCGTTATTTGACTAGGATGGAATTGTGGCACACTGACTTAATTATATTAACTAATTATGAGAGCTAGTAACTACGTGCTATGCTATGGATTAATATTTCCGTTAGGTTTGCACTTGGAATCCCACCTGAAGGTTTGGCATAAGGGCATGCTGCTTTCTAATGAACAACAAACATCGCAGCCATATTTCAGATTGCGTGTATGGTTAAAAACTGAACATCTACTACCACAACCCAGGGACTCCTAACAGCGGATCACAAGCTGTGGGGGAGTAAGATTCTGAGTAAATGGGGAGAGTGGGAGGAAGTAACAGCTTACATATTGACACTCCCACTAGGAGGGAGGCTGACTCTCTTTTGCAAAGCATGTTCATTGGCAAAACATTCATCGCAAAACTTGAGCTGCTAAAAACCAAGTACATTTTTTCTATTTATCTATTTTTTTCCTTAGGCTGCCTTTAAGGATTGAGTGTTCTGTGTTAACTTTTCTGTGGCAGGGTTTAGCAAAGTTGTTTGGGCTCCATACAGTTATATGCAGGGCTTTTCTTGAAGTCTTTCTTTTATCTGATGGAAGTGGAGAGTGGCAAGGGAGAAAAGCAAAGCAATGGTTATAGAAGAAAGTAGGGTGTAAATCTGCTCTTCGGAGTTTTAAAGAATGGCATGCCTCAGG